ATGAAAGTCTCCGTTGCTGTTGGAGGGTCTGTGTAAGTGGCTGGCAGACTGCGAAAAGTCGACTCAGCCTTTTTTTTTTTTTCTTCCTTTTTTTTTTTATCTCGAAGTCTCCTCTTGTACCTCGGTACTTCAGACTATCAGGGACATGGATGGACGAAGCACTGGATACAGGCAGCGAACTGATCCAGGAACAAGGAGGTAAAGGAATAACAAGGAAACCGGCATGAGGCCATCCTTCGGTACCTGCATAAACTCCATCTCGGCAATCCCAGTAAGAGTCCCTTTCTTCGCTGCGAATGGCCAACAACAAGAGAAGGGCCAATTAATCCAAGTCCAATCTCGGTTCATCCCACCACTCTGGGTCAGGAAGCGAGATGGGTAATTCAAAAAGAAAAACAAAATAAATAGGGAAAAAAGTCCAATCCAAGACCGAGCTTAGAGTGGACATCCAACACGCGAGGTGCGGGACGAAGCATCACGCGAATCTTGTTGAATCTATCTATCTCTTACTTCGCCTTTGCAAGTCCCGTCTGATCTTAGATCTCGAATCCTTTCCCCCATGACTTTCAACCCAAGGGAAGTTCCACTTCGTCTAATAGTTGTTATTGCGCAGTACGCAAAATCAAAGCTCGGGACCTGGGCCATTTTCTCCCATATTTGACTGTCTCCCTGTGCCATCCATGCGACTGCGACATCACTTATCCCTTTAGAGTTTTCCTTGGTCTTTCCCATGAACGGTTACCATCTTCGAGGGGAATTTCATTCCCGATTGCTACGCTGGAACCCTGTAAGTGTAGAGGTTTCCCGGCCTCGCCGATGCGCGTGTAAGTAGTGTAGTTCGCGTTTGCGGTTTGCATCGCCGTTCATAAAAGCCATGGAGAAAATGAGGGGAAAGGGCCGAGATGGGAGATGCACCCTGTTTTCCTTGGCATCTGCACTCCTACTAATACCGAGAGCTCTTCACTTCTTCAGGAGCCCTGGTCTGTGGCGGTGGGGAGAGAGGCAACAACGCGCAGTCTACGCAGGTTGAGGTATGCCAGTGTAAAAAAACAGGTAAAAATGGAGAAAATGAGGAAAGTAAGAAAGGAAAGCATCACGCAGCCGGTAGAATCGTCAGAGTGTACTCAAGTCAACTCTCGTCATCTATTTACGGCAAACGAAGTACGACCCTTTGCGATAGAAGCAATATCACCAGGCCACCGAAGCGAGGCCAATTAATTTACACTCGATACCGAGCATCACAGTCGCTTTCCGTAGAATTGTTCGATGGACCCTTCTGTGGGTCTCCCTCTTTATCAAGGACATTGTCCGTGTCCAATTTTAATGGGAAAAAAAAAAAATTGAAAAATTGAATGCTCGCAATTAATATCCCTACCTCGCCGTGCCCTGCTGGCAACGAAGGACGAAGGGGGGCGTGTATAAATACGCATAATAAACTCGACCCTTTTGGGAAATTAGGGCGTCTTCCTTCTCCTTCCCAACTTCCCAGCTCCTCTCTCTGCCCTAAGCTATTCTAAACCTCAACCCACCCCCCCCCCGGCCTGCTTCAACCAGAATATCCCTATGAACTGATTGAACGATTCAGCGAGTACCTCGCTACTTTACGCTCTTCCGATCAAAGAAAAGATACCTCCCGAACCTAGTGAGATCTGTGGGATTGGAGCTAGCCCTGCGCCCGGCTTTATACCCCCGTCTCGTGCTACTTTGCAAGTCTCCATCGAGGGCTATATCTCGGCTCTTATGATCACCAGTCTCCAGAACGATGACTCGCCCCTGTTCCTTCGTTTCCCCCCTCCCCCTCCCCCACTTGGTGGCGCGTCGTCGAGGACGAGACGAGAGTCAGAGAGGGACGAAAGGGCTACGCGCACACGCAAGAGAGACAGTCTGTTCCCTGGCGTGACCTTTTGGCCCACACCTGTTAGAAGACGCCCCCCCCTCCTCGCTGAACTCAGTTCCCACGGCACGATATATTAAGACCAGCTCAGCTATTTGCTGGCAGGCATGACTTTTTTTGCTGGGTCCCTCTCCACTAAAGGAAGAGAGCCAGAAAAGGTACAAGCCGAGGTGTGCTGTTGGATCAGGCTTGGCCCGCAAACCCTTGCGTCCGGGTCTGTGTCCCAGTGTAAGTGCCTTGAACTAGCCAGGCACAGTAGTTTTCCCGACGGCGTCTTCGAGAAGAGACAGGGGAGGGACAAAAAATAGCAGCAAAAACTTACATGGGTAAGAGGGCGGGAGGGGGGGTTCAAGGAAGTCCTTAACAAAGTGTGCTGTTCTGTTTAAACAGTGTCGAAGAAACAAGAGAATGGTCTGGCCAAGCCATCCCGGGGAAGAGGCCGGGATCAAGCGGGTAACTCGAGGCAAAGGACAAAGGGAGAAGGAAAGTCCAGCCAGTACACTACCCATCCTCTTGCCCCCCCTCTTCTCCCCTCGTGTTGGCTGGGCCTTCGGGATCCGTGCCGCTATCGGGAAGTCCTTTCTGGGAAAAGCACACGTTGGTTTGGGTGGGAGGGGCACGCAACTGACTCGACAGACCAACCTCTCTTCGTGACGCGTTAAGTGGTTTTTTTATCACTGGACCATTATAGCGTCAGTTACCAAGGAAGTCCTACGCCCGTGAATGGTTGAGCAATTCCAATCCCTGCTTGGCCTCGGCTCATGGAGTTGAGGAACGGTAGTATAGTGGAGATACCCTGGCGCGTTAACAGAGGGTGTCCTCTTTTGTTTGGAACGTCCGGTATACTCTTCTTGTTAAGTGGCGAGATGGTTTTTTTTTCCCTCTATTATTATCATTATTTTTTTCCGGCTTTCTTTCACCGGGCCCGGTGATCTTCGGCGATCTCGGTCAGTTTCGTTCACCTTGGAGACTAATAGACATGGAACTTTTTCTTGGGTCAGGCTCCAACGCGTCACGCGGTGGGGAGAAACAATGGCACCAAGGGTGGGGAGAGATAGAGAGCGCGACGATAGACCTCTTCTTAGCAAATCATGAGCTATGCTATCCGGATGAACAGGATGGAAAAAGCGCTACTGGACCTAGCAAAAAAGTTTCTTTCCCGGAAAGAATTCACGGATGAATCCAGCCCTGTGGACCTCTCCGGTTCTAATTGGGGGAGAGATCGAGAGAGTGTGGTGGAGCACAGTTTGACAGGTCTTTAGAAGGGCGGTGATGGAGCCGGAGTTTCCACATAGTTCTAAGGGAGGGGAAAAACCAAACGCTAGCCGCTTTCCCAGTGATGTCGTGATGGTTCTCCCTTTCTCTTTCCCCTCCTACAGACACCCCACACCGAGACCGTCTCTCGTCCATACCCTCATTCTCCAAGCTGCCGCCGTGAGCTCAGAAACGGCACTGCGTTTTGGGGGTTGGGGTTGGGGGGGCCAATGACGTTCCCCATCTACACCTAGCCCTTATTGAGTCGCTTCCAGACCTCATCCTCTGCCTCCGCTAGCCGGCCCCCAGCCGCCTGCGCCCATTTCTTCGCCGCGTCCCACATGCCCTGATCCTCCTCGCTGTCCCCGGTTCTCGCCATTCCCTGGCCACCCGCGCTATAGGCACCGGTGTTGTAAGGGGTGGTCTGGGCGGATGGGCCGGGGCCGTTGAGCCCTAATGGTTGGTAATACCCTTGGTTCTGATACTGATTGGCCCGGTTGCTTGCCGGACTGCCATCCAGGCTAGTTGGTCCTGGACCCTGTGGAAAGGTAGCCGCCGTCGTTGACGATCCGCCTTGCGCTGCGTAAGACTGTGTTGGTGGAGGGATGGCCATCTGTGCCGGCATAGAAGTCACGGGCGGCGCTCCTCCTGGACTCAAGTTTCTTGATTCCCCTGCCCTGGGGGGCGGTGGAAGCGTAGATGTCCTCCCGGGGGGAACTGGGGCAGCACCAGGTTGCGGCGGTGGAGGGCTGTTGTTAGACCCCGGCGCTGCAGCTGTTGTGATGGCTGGTGTGTATTCTGTGGTCTTCTGAGTAGGTGTTGGGGTGACTGCTGCAGTTGGCGGGGGTGGTCTCGCTCCTGGTTGCGGTGCTGGGTATGATGATGTGCTGGTAGGAGGTGGAGCTTGGGTTGTGGTGGCGGGTATGTAAGGTGCGGCAGCCTGCTGTGCGGCGTCTGTTTTGGGAGTTGCCCCCTCGGCCTTGTAGGCGTTGACGGGGCTTGATGTGTAGATGGGAATAGGAGGCATCCTGATGTGTTGGTGAATGTCTTCTCTCCTCGGCTGGACCGGCCTGTTTGTGGGATGCCTTGTGCAGGAAGGACGATGTTCTCTTTTGAAAACAAGATTTTATGTAGGAAGTCGATGTGCGGTTTGGCTCTTAGCCTTTCCAGTTTTGCGTTTGAAATACTTGTGACAGTTGGCGAGGTAAGAAGACTGGAGCTTAGAATGTGGCGGCTGGTCGAAGAGGACCTTATATACTGGGCTGAATCGTACTCGGGGAACAAGGCGAGGAATGATTTCCGAGTGAGTAATCTTTTGGAAGGAATGATGTGGCGTGTAACCGGAATGAATCTTTGTTTCCCAAAAGACGTGTTTTTGTGAAGTTGCGGGTTGACTGTTTTCCCGTCTTATACAATGATGTCAGGCGATGTTGCATCAATTGATCTGTTTGTTGAGGCTGTGAATGTCAAAGGCCAAGCGAATAATACAGCATGAGCTGGAGATGAGCGTGGCTGACACTTGCCCACGGAATGACAGCTGTAATCGCCTGCCATTTTGAACATAGCGAGTCTGTCTATTCTGAATGCGGTTTAGCGCTTCCGTTTCAATGGGTCGTCTGCGAGCAACGCTCGGGGTGGTTCAATCTTGTCGGAGTTTACTGTGGTTGCACTGATGGAAACATCTGCGAGCCTCGAGGTTTGTGGCCAAACAAGGCCAGGGAGCTAACCACGGAATTTTTCTTCCCATCACAGGATCTCCCCTTTCTTCCTCCAACTCCAGAACCTTCAAATCACACTCTAATTCAATGACCGCATAATCTATCAAAATTCATCACACCAACCCAACGCAAGGATGGTGGGCAAGGTTAGCGAGCGAGTTCTCCTTCGGGAAGGTATGTGTCTATCCCCAAGTCGAGAGCAGCGGCGAGGCTTTTTCGCAGCCGTGTGCTGGCGAGAGCAGGAGCACAAGCAAGAACCAGAGATGGCGGCTTTCCCCACTCTTCGGATGAATATATACTGACACGTACATTCTTTTTTGCTTTAGGTCTCGAGAGGACGGACAATGGAATGAAGCAGACGAGCTGGCCTGATGTCACGCCCATCAACCAGAAGAACTACTACACGTATGCGCGACGATTAGTCCTTGATACTATCTCCGACATATTACATCCCATTCCCATTCCCATTCCTATTCGGCGCCGTTCCTAACGTGTTTTTCGTTACAGTGATTATATGAAGCGCGATGACCAGATCCTGGCCCTCAGACTCCAATCCGATGCGACCCGCGACCGGATGATACAAAACGCAAAGGAAAGAGATCGTGCCCTCGCCGCCAAGGCCGCCAACAGCGAAGTCCCCCTCCCCATGGCCGACCTTCAAGGCGAAGACGCCGCAGCGCCGACCGCAGATACGACGACGGATCCATCCAAAGTCATCGTGATCCACCCGGGCAGCCAGAACCTGCGCATCGGGTTCGCGAGCGACGCGCTTCCCAAGACGATCCCGATGACGCTTGCGACAAAGTTCCCCCAGACCGAGTCGGAAATGTACGAGGCGTTGCCCAGGCGGCAGTTCGAGGCCAAGACGCCCGACCAGCAGTACGGCGAAGAGTGGGCCAAGAAGTTCCAGAAGCAGAGTAACGATCTGAAGGTGGAGATGCGCGCGAACAAGCGCAAGGTGCTGCCCAACTCGAAGGAAATGGTGCTGAACTACAACCGCCGCACCGAGCCGGAGGAGATACCTCAGCACAACGACCCGCTGCAGATCGAGTGGACGGACATCGGCGCGCTGGAGGACCCCGAGTCACCGGCGTCGTGTTTCATCGGACACCAGGCCGAGAGGATCCCCGATGATTCGGACCCGAAGTTCAAGCTTTGGTGGCCGATCCAGCACGGGTGGCTGAACGAGGACGACTACGGTACGGCGGAGCATCTCTACGATGATTTCGAGACGTTGTTGGACAAGGCGATTCGGCAGGAGCTTGGCCTGACCAAGAACAGCACGTGGAAGCAGTATAGCTGCGTCTTTGTCATTCCCGACTTGTACGACAAGAAGTACGTCGAGAGCGTCCTCCGGTCCTGCATGACCTGGTTCGAGTTCAGCAGGGTCTGCTTCATCCAGGAAAGTATGGCTGCCACGTTTGGCGCGGGCTACACGCAGGCTTGCGTGGTCGACGTCGGGGCGCAAAAGACGTCGATCACCTGCGTGGAGGACGGGCTCGTGCTCGAGGACTCTCGGGTGAACCTCAAGTACGGCGGCTACGACATCACGGAGACGTTCGTCAAGATGATGCTCTACGACAATTTCCCTTACGACGAGATCAACCTGCGGCGGAGGTACGACTTTTTGCTGGCCGAGGAGCTCAAGATTAAGCACTGCACCATGTCTCAGGCGGACGTGTCCGTGCAGCTCTACCAGTTCCACGTGAGAGCGCCTAACCAGCCTACGCGGAAGTATCAGTTCAAGACGTACGACGAGGTTATACTCGCGCCCATGGGCGTTTACGATCCTACGATTTTCGATAATAGCACGAAGCTAAGGGGCCGGAGGAAGCTGATCGATCGGTCATATAACGCATACGATGTCGACATCCCCGACGACCCTACTTCTCAGGCTCAGCTCGCCATCCTAGCGCTCGTCAAGCCGTCTCTCATCTCTAACGGCATCTCTCAGCTATCGAACGACGTCTCGACGCCCGTCAAGGAGAAGCCGCACCCCTTCAACTTTTTGTCGCGAGTCGACGCCGCCTTAACTGGCACGCCGATCACATCCAGCGCGCCGTCGCCCGCACCTGACGGCACGAGCACCCCCGTGCCCCCGCCCTTCGTCTTCGGCAAGGACGGCACCGCAGACAGCCCCGCGCCCAGCACGCAGGCGCGAGGCGGCGGCACACCCAACCCGAGCGGAGGTCAGACACAGTCGGCGCATGGTGCATCCTCCTCGTTCGTCGAGCACGCGACGCGCAGCGCCAGCGACGTAGCCGACGAGCGCGACTCCGTGCTCCCCGTAGCGCCGCTCGACGTCGCCGTCCTCACTTCCATCCAGAACGCGGCCCGCGGCGACGAGAAGAAGCTGCGAGACCTGTTGGGCAGCATCATGGTGATCGGCGGCGGGGCCAAGATCCCGCAGTTCACCAACGTGCTGGAGGAGAAGCTCAAAGCGAGGCGGCCGGACCTGTATGATCGGATCTTGGTGAGCAGGAGCGCGAGGGATATGGATGAGCAGGTTGTCGTGTGGAAGGGGGCGAGCGTTTTTGCGAAGCTGTCGACGAATGATTCGTGGATTGTGCCGTTGGAGTATGAGAGGTTGGGGGCTAGGGCGATTCATCATAAGGTGTTGTGGTCTTGGTAGAACGATGAGAATGGGCTACTGTTTCATCTAGAGAAAGGGGGAATGTGGCTGGTCTTTCTTTGCTTGGGACGGAATGGGCTAGGCAGATATGAGGAGTTGATTCCTTTTGTTTCTTTACTTTAGGTTGTTTGGAGGTTGGAGTTAGACGGGTACTGTAAAAAACTTGATTTGATTGTCTCTCTCTCTCGGCTATGGACTAATCGGACGTAGGTGCTACAAGTGACAAGTCTTGAAGGGCTGACCCTCCAAAACTAAGGAAGCCCAAGGATATTGTAGATGTTGGTGTTCTACAGCAGCGTAGCCCTTCTACTCAGGCTATAGGCCCTTCTCATGAATACTTCACTTAGAGATCTAGTCATAATTGCTTTATGATTATATGAAACATTTATATATATATGTAAAAAGATTTCTCATGAGACGGAAACATGGAATCGCTCCTTGTTCTCGTTCCTCTATCACTCATCTTATATGCAAATACCGGAGATTATATAATCAGAGAGATTCCAGCTCCGGTCTAACTCCGGCTCGGGTCTCAGCATTGACGTTTTCCACCGTCAAGGTGCCATTGTCCTATTGTCCAGATAAGCTGATTGATAAGCCCCGACATTCTCCGTCTAACCTCAACCTCGAAGTGACGATCAATTGCTCCGATACTCGAAACCCAAAACCATCCGCCAAAAACAACCTCCGACCCTCGACCGGCACATGTCTTCGGTCCTGCGCGCTCCGACATACACCGTCATGCCGACTCAACGGGTGTGACATGATGCGATTGATAACGATAGAAAAGAAATCTCAACTGTGCTTTAACAACTAGACCGCCGCGTGCCCTCACTCTGTGACGATCTTCATTTCGAAAGCGAACATTCCTTCCTCAGCTCCTAGATTTTTTCCGATGTCACGATAGAAAAGAAAAACAGGGAAGAAGAAAACTTTACAACTTAAACGAAGCCATGTCCTTGATAACGAGATACCTCCCCTTCGCGGCGTCGACATCAACGTTGCAGGCCCTTACGTATTTGCTGGGGATATCGCTCTTTTCCATATCGTTTCTGGTGTTTCTCAATAGTAGCGTTTCGTTTGTGATTACGGATTTGATCGGCCAGAAGGATGGCGTTGGGGATGTGTAGGTTTTGTCCTCTTTCCTGGTTATGCACCGCCGGATCTATTTGCTTCGGGGACTAACGAGGGTGTTTGATCTGTAGGGTCGGAACGCTTGGTTTCGCCGATGAGGTCGTCGCACTAGTGGCCTGTCCCATCTGGGGCCTCATCTCCGACCGTCTGGGCGTGCGCTGGGTCGCCGTCCTAGGATACCTGATTATCAGCGCCGCGTTGGCGCTGTTTGTCCAGGCGAAGAATGTATACCCGCAGCTTTTACTGGCGAGGATCTTCTTTGCCATCGGGGCTACTGCTGCGTGAGTGAAACTATGACCCGGAACCACTTCCTTTACGTCAAGCATACGAGCTAATTGCTGTATATATATACAGTGCCACAATGGTCACGGCTATCCTCCCGAACCTCACCGACGACAGCAACACCCAAGCCGTCAACCTCTGCCAACGCGGCCGCAAACCCATCACTACCGACGGCCGTGCATCTCGCGACAGCGTCGCCCTCTCCCTCTCGTCCGAGCTTACCATCACCCCCGAGCGCTACACGCGGGCCGTATCAGCCTCGTCGACTTCCAGTGAGGAGCAAGAGGAGGAGGACAAGAGGTTGGGGAAACCCTCGGCGCTGGCGGGCTACGTCGGTCTGTTCACGGGGTGCGGCGCGCTCGTGGCGCTGTCGCTGTTCTTGCCGCTGCCGGCAAGGTTTGGGGAGATTGATGGCGTGAGCACGGCGGATGCCGTTACGTATAGCTTTTATGTTGTGGCGCTTGTGTCGTTGGCCGTGGCGGTGTTTGTGTCTATTGGCTTGAAGGGATTGAAGGGGGAGGACGGGAAGGGGTGGAAGGCACTTTTTGGTATGAAGCGTGTTTCGGAGGATGGGTTTGCGGATGGCCGGGTCCGGGTATGTCTTTTTTCCCCCTCTCTTCTTAGCCTTCATGTCCCTAGCCTGTGTCAAGGCGACCTTGTCTTCCCCTCTTGCTAACCCTTCCTAGCGACCTGTTCTCCCATACCTCCACCTCCTCCGAGAAGCCCTCAAACTCGGCCTCACAGACTCCAACATCGCCCTAGGCTACCTCGGAGGCTTCGTCGCCCGCGCCTCCACCGTAGCAATCTCCCTTTTCATCCCCCTCTTCGTAAACACCTACTTCATCAACAACGGCTTCTGCCAGGGTTCCCCGCACGACCCTTCACCGGAGCTGAAGAAGGAATGCCGAGCGGCTTACATCCTCGCCTCCATCCTCTCGGGCGTGGCCCAACTGTTCGGCCTCCTCTGCGCCCCAATCTTCGGCTACTTGTCCAGCCGCACGCGGCGCACCAACATCCCTGTGAAAATTGCATCTCTCCTCGGCATGGTGGCTTACACTGCTTTCCCGCTCCTGCGCAGCCCCGAGATCAAAGACGTTGACGGCCGCGGCGGGGGCCCGCTCGTGTTCCTCCTCGTGGCCCTCATGGGAATCAGCCAGATCGGCGCCATAGTCTGTTCCCTGGGTTCACTCGGCCGAGGCGTCCTAACCACCGACGTCGTTCTCCCACCGCGCTCGGAAGACTGCGTTCCGTCCCTTATCCAAGAAGAATCCACCGAGACAAGCGCCCTCCTCGCCCCCGGCGACGAAGAAACCACGCCCTGTGTGCAAGAAGACGAGGAGACGCAGACGCGCGTGAGGCTAAAGGGGTCCATTGCCGGCGTGTATTCCTGGTTCGGCGGCGCGGCGATCCTGCTGCTGACCAAGGCGGGCGGGTATTTGTTTGACGAGGTGGCGAACGGGGCGCCGTTTTATATGATGGCCGGGTTTAATGGGGTTTGGTTTGTGGCTAGTTTGGGGATTGATATGGCGAGGGAGTTTAGGAGGAGATGACGGGAGATGGATGGGATGGGGGTGTTTTCTGCTGGAGTATATATGTTGTGTCTTTTTAAAACACTGTCACCTTTTTTTTTATAGGAAAATGGAAGGTAGAGAAAAAAATGAGAAGTGATGGAGGAAAGAGGTCCATCTACGGCAGTTTTCAGAAAAGGAGTTATACTTCATAACTAGACTCGGGAAAAGGGCGCATCTTAACTCAAGCCGCATACCTATATTCCCGCTCTTCTTGGTGACGATATCCACCGCTGAAGGTTTTAAATCTGGGGTTTAGAAAAATGATGTCCTATGTTGTCTTGAGTTGGGGAAACTGTTGCGTGTAAAGAAAGATCAATGGATGGTCCCTCGGGGTGAGTTGATGGGGGAGATGTAGCTGATGTGAAGATGCACAGGTATAAACGATGTTATTGGATGGCTGCTGTCGTCCTTTCGTGCTTACTCTCTCTTTCTCCTCTCCCAGGCTGCTACTGTCTCCGGGACGTCTCCTGTCTTGGACATGAAACGCGAGAGAGAATTTACCTACAAGACAGGCAAAAGGGCATAGCGATGGCAAGGTCCTCCGAATAGGAAGAGCGAGTGCAGCGGGGACGGATGACGAAGTTGGAGTCCGTCCCTCCTTTGGTTCCCCAGCTACAGAAGGACGGATCGTACCAACACTTACAAGCTCATCTCCTACTTTCCAGCTACGTTCCCTCGCTCATGCCTACAACACCCGGATCTGAAAGCCAAGACGCAAAAGTCGACGCGCCTTCCTCAGAGGCAGCTCCCAGGCCGAACAGCAGATACAAACTCACACAAAACCGGAGGCATCATGCACATAAGCATGTAAGAACGCAAGGAAAAAAAGAACAGTGAAAAAAGGGGAACCGAAACTTGGGAAACGGATCAACCTTAAATTTCGTATAAAAACAACTTTTGTCCTCAAGAAAAAAGGTTCCTACCCTTCCCACTTTAAGAATCCGTACGACTCGAGAGATAAACTAAAAGAAAAGAGAAAAACGGAATAGACAATAAAAAAAAAACGTGAGGAAAAAGCACAAATCTTTCCGCGAGTTGGGGTGGGCCTGTCATGGACGAAAAAATGTAAAAGAACACCAAGAAAACCAAATCCCCAAGTGTTGTTTTAAAGGCCCGGAGAAACAATTCCCTATATTTTTTTTTCCCTGTCTCTCTTTTTTCCCAACAAGGCTTGTTCAAATGCCTCTCTTAAAGGCATGCTAAACTTTCGTTCTGTTTTTGCTTTAATAACAAAGGGAGGGGGGGCAAAAAGAGTAACGATGAGGAGGGCCGCCTTGTGCTAATTTCCCTCTCTCTTGGTATGTGCCGGCCTTTTCGGGTTTATTTGCCGAGCGAGGGGAAGGCCTGCTGGTCGTTGGTATTGATGGTGACGTCCTTACCGCCACGGCCACGGCCGTTCTCTCCACGAGGGCCATCACCACGTCCACGAGCACCACCTCGGGGGCCACCGCGGGGAGCGCCACGGGGAGCGCCACCACGGGAACCGCCACGTCCACCACGTCCACCGCGAGTTCGCTCAGGCTCGACGTAGCGTTGGTCAATCTCGACAACCTGCTTGACCTTTCGCTCACGCTCACGCTTGGCCTTGCCGGCGCCGGAGGCGGAGATGAAGTCGTCGTCCTCGTCCTTGACGAGGGGCTTGGCGTTGGCCCACTTCTTATCAAGCTTGCTACCCTCGTTGGCCTGTCGGACTTGGGAGGGACCCTCGAGAGCCAGCTTCTTCTGGGCGAGCTGGGCGAGGTACTCCTCGTACGAGATGTGCTTGTCCTCAGGCTCGGGCTCGACGGCCTCCTTGGCCTCACCCTCGCCTTCAGCCTTAGCCTCGGTCTTAGCGATCTCCTCGCCAGCGACCTCGTCCTTCAGCTCGGCCTCGCCCTCAGCGGCGCCCCAGGACTGAGCAGCCTGCTTTTCGGAACCACTATTGACGAGGGCGGTTAGCGCTGGGTCAACTCAGGGACACGACGACTACCCGCCAGACCTATCATCGATCGGCGCCAGGAGAGATTGGATGAGGGAAAGATGACTTACGGAGCGATGTTCTTGGCGTGACGGTCGTCACGGTCGCGAGGGTAGCGAGAGCCACGTCCTATTGCCGACAGTCAGTTAATCCGTATTAAAATGTCATGGAGAACAGTCCATGCACCGTGAATTGAAAAATGCACAACGCTGGGACAATCATCTGCTCACCTCCACGAACACGAGCGCCGTAGCCGCCCCTGGGAGGGCCTCGCGTGCCGTCATCGGTACCCTTGTTTCGGTTGCGGTCGCTGCCTGCATTACGGTCACGGAACGCTAAATGGCGATGACAAATTCAACAGTTAGCTTTGAACGGATCAAGACGGCTTCACGAGCAAGTTCCGGTTCCCCGAATGCCAATCTCGGTTGATCAAGCTTCATCCTTCCCATTTTAGGCGACGTTTCGGAGAGGCAAAAATTTCGCTCCCGTCTCCCGATGGTCAAATGGATTTCAGTGAAGAAGCGGCTCGAGCAACGAAAAGCACACAGGTCTTGCAAAAAACCGCAAAGGAACGAAAAAAGACCGAAGTCAAAGGACACGTCGCAAGGTAGGAAGGCAAGAAAGCACTCACCAGCCTCGTTACCAGAGTAGCCACGACGTCCGGTGTTGCCTCCCCGAGCCGAAGTTTCGGTCTTAGCACCACGGGTGTTCGCATCACCTCCCTTCACAACGACAGCAGGGGCTTCACCATCCTCGCCTGGTGGGAGCGCAGCATATGTTAGCACATCAAGACCCCACATTCGAAAGCAAAGCCATGGTATTCCATCGATGTAGACAGAGCCGGATGGCGGGAGTCATCTTCGACTATTGAGCTTCTTGAACGAGATCGAGAATTCAATCGACAAGACACCGGAGGGGGTGGGTAAACCGTACTGAGGAGGCCAAAAGGGTTCTGTGGGACACAGGATCGTTAGCTCTATAGTCCGGCGACTGGAGATGTGGCAATTGAGAAGGAACGCGATCTATTGACCCGAGGCCTAATGGAATCGCCAGCGCCCTCGATGACATTGATGAGCAGGGCCAGGGCGAATCCGCAGCTTGCCGAATTGGACGGGTTCACTGGATTTGTTTCCACGAAGCAACCCACACCCACGCACATGCCCACACATGACCGAGGGCAAAAAAGATGGGGAACGGAAACATGGCCCTCTTCCTCGTTTTCGGGCCACACAGCAAGGGTTTCGCAAAACTAACCTTAGAGGCGACAGACATTTTGACCGCCCGATTATCGCCTCAAAAGGCGTGCCTTTGTTGGAGACACTCTGGAGAGTGAGTAGAAGGGATAATTCGGGGGATGGTAGAAGAGAAGAAAAGGGAAGAAAACGTTGCTCAGCAGATCATGACCCCTAAACGTGGAATGGCGTTGGGGGGGGGAAAGGGTTAAGAGGGTTTTGGGTTGAACGGATTGAAAAATTCGGGGGGGAAAATAAAATCAGAAATTGACGGGTGGATTTTGCTGACGGCGGCTCTTGGGGTGTGTGACTTTTTTTTTTGACTGCTGTTTTCTTTTTGGTGTCCCTCGGGGGTGCGAAATTCGGTGCTCGGTTTTTGGGTGGGAGATTTGACGGGACATCAAAATCAATCAATATTGTGTGTGTGTGTGTGTGTGTGGTTCTGTGTGGTTGCGTGTGGTTATGTGGTTACTTTGTGGTGTGGTGCGGTCATGGGCGATACGGGGTGGTGGCAGAGCTGATGTCGGCAAGTTACAGAGCGGGGAGCTAGCACTGGACGCGCTGGAGATTGGGGGAACAGGGCCTGGAGTGACACTGCTGACGCTAAAAACTGGACTCTAGTAGTACTGGGCTCATGCTGGGCCTGCCCTGGCTAGACCTCGTCTGACTAGCCACGAACCATGAGGGCGAGTGCGACCACTATCATTAAAGAGGCACCCGATCAACTGCTTCGCATTTTCCCCATTTTCTGGGGATGGAATTGTGGCACTCATTTGATGCCAGCCGCCGACGTCGTCACAAACTCTCTTTTATGCACGAGGACACAGTAAGAACTCTCCCATGCTTCAATCTCGTCGGATTTCCAAAAGTCTATCACTTTCCGAAGTAGTGTAGAAATCTGAATATCCTGTAAAACCAGGGACACCATATCCTCTATCCTCTGTACCTCGTACTCCAGAACCTCTCCCTCCCCTCCCGGATCACTTCAATTGTTCCCCTCAGAGCTGAGCTCCCTCCACATTCTCTAGGCTATACCCCGCATAAATCTCGGCACACCCCCCAAGCTCTCGCCACAACCCGAAAAGAGGAAAAATTGATCAATAATATCGAAAAAAGCCCTGGCCTTTCTTTTTTTGGTGGTCAAAAACTCGTGTTAGTGTCTAGGGCTTCGCTTTCAAAATCGAGGCACGAGTCTCGGCGCAATTACTAAGGCGAGGGGGAAAAAGGAAGGTCCGCCGCCAAGGACATTCGGTCCGGAGCGAGGCCATTCACCAGATGATGATCGTGAATTTTAAAACATTACGGGAGAGACCTGTGGGGAGGTCCTGTAGAGTTGATTCCTTGCCCATGGTTGTCCTAATTACAAAAGACCCGCTAAGTGAGGGTATCGTGTGCTTTACTCTGATGCTTGGATGATTGATGCTGCCCAATGCTACAAATTCCGGGGTGATCGGGTTGTCTCCACTGCTCGAGATGAGACGAAGGAATCGATCAATGTGGAAAAATTAATTGAGAAGAAAAGAAAAAGTCCGCCGTCAATTCCTTCGCCAGTAAAACAACAGGGTAATGCAGCGGAGCAGAAGAGATGAGGAAAGAGAAAAATATATATATATATATAAAAAAAAAAAAAAAAAAAAAAAAAAAAAAAAAAAGAAAGGAAAACGAAAACGGGAGCGGAGGAAAAGTCTCGCCCAGTTGGGAAAAAAAAAGAACGTCAAAAAATCAAGATGTTTTAGCATCTCCCATACCAGGAATCGAACCAGGGTCTATGCTGCGCTCATTATATGAGAGAGCATTATGCTAACCACTACACCATATGGGATGGTGGATTGTTGAAGGGTGGCCTTCGGCTACCCACCTATAAAGGCAGCTCGACAAATAGAATGGAACAGGGAAACAAACACGCGAGCACAGTATTATTTATACTGAAGATGAAAGTATCACACCGTGTAATGCAATCGGGATGTCAGGGTAATATCGTGGTCGCAAGACGATGGAGAATATGGGAACATCACAAGGAGAGTTCAAGAGTTCGAAAACAAGGTTGTTTGTATGAATCTTCCGGTCACACCAAAGCCACATGTACACACCGGCATAGACGAAGGATATTGGTACGTATTTGTGACCTACGACCATGACAGGCGCGACGGTCTGTCGATCACCAGAAAGCAAGCTGAAGAGCTCTCAAACAAGGTTGTTATTCACATAAAAATCCATCATACCAAAAACCACACATACACATAGCCAGCTAGCTACTCCCAAACCCAACACTTTTGTAGTCCCTCTCCCCACAAGACACCTCCCCATCATCTACTGCAACATATTGTCCAAACTCTCCCCAAGCACCCCCTCAATACCCACAATCCACCGATGCGTCTCCCGCTCCACAACCTCATCGTCATCATCCTGCAACTCGCTAATAAACGGCAACATCTCCGGCAACATCGCCAACCACTCCTCGCCCAACCTATTCGCCAGCGCCTGCTGACACTTGACAGCCGCGAGACGCTTCGACGCCTGCTCCGAGCGCAGGAGCTTGAGGATCGACGTGTTAAGCTCCTTCTGGTGCGTTTGGGAGCTGGCGGCGCGCGCTAGCTCGACTATGGCTGGGGTTAGCGTTTCGGTGAGGAGGAGGTCGGAGGAACTGGATGAGGAGGCGTAGCGGAATTGCTCGACGAGGATGGGTGCTACGGCTTCAAAGTGCGCGGGGCTTTGCCAGAACCCGTCTTCGTCGTGCTCGAAGCACTTGGCGAGGACTTTGAGGACACTCTCCCAGAGGGTGCGCTCCTCACTGCTCTTGGTCGGGTTCGCGGACTTGAGGAGCCGCACAGCGTCATCGAGCATGTACGTTGCGTAGCTGGTGACGATCCTACCCAGCTGGTTGAAGAAGGCGTATAGGAAGCCGTAGACGCTCTGCGACCTGCGTAGATGTCCCGCGGTGTCCGACTTAGGCAGCTGCTGCGTGCCTGCGGTGGTCCACTCGATCAATTGCGAGAAGATGGGTCGGAAGGTGCCGTCGTTGAGCTTGTGGATCATGAGGAGCGCTACTTCGTTGACGGAGCCTTCGATCTCGGCGACCTTGGCGGAAACAGACTCGTTGACAGGGCCCTTTTCGAACTCTTGCCTGCGGAAGTCGAAGGCGTTGAGGAAGATGGAGGAGAGCGAGGAGACGTTCTTTCGAATGGTTTGCTCGCGGTGAGCGATGATGGCAGTGCGGATGAGATCAATGTACTCCGCAATAGCCTGAAATTTTACTGTTAGTACCACCAAACCAAAAAAAAAAAAAAAAAAAAAAGGGGGGGGGGAACTGGTGGAAGATGAGCTTACCTTGAAACCAGCGCCAGCAGCCGTCGGCCAACCATTCGAAAGCCCCGTAAACAAAGTCTTTGGGGTAACCTGCGTCGCCAACGACTTAAGACAGCTCTTCCTACTGTCATTCGCTTCACTATCCCATCCATACTCAGCCGAAGCGTTAGAAATAGCAAGCAGCTGTTCGAGGTATGAACCCGTAATCATCTCCGGCATGTGCTGAACGACAGAAAGAACGAAAAAGTAGCAAGCATTGTGAAGCTCGGCGTTGGCCTCCTTGTTGCCAGCCATGCACTCCCGGAGGTAGTTCATGGCATACGTAGAGGCGCTGGGCAGCACGGGAATGACGCCGTGACCAAGGACGCTGACGAGCGACGCGAGGCACAAAAGAGCCATAACGCGCAGGTGCTTGTCGGGCTGGCCCAAGCAATGCTCGCCGGCGATGATCGAAGCGGCGGCCGCCACGGCCTCGAGGTCTCTCTCACCGTACTTCTCGGCAATCTTGTCGACGCAGGCCACGGCCGTGTGCTTGTAGCGGATGTCGTCCGAGTCGCGGATCGCCGCCGTGAGCTGGGGCAGGAAGCCGAGCAGCACCGCGCGGGAGCTGGGGTCCGCGCTGCTTTCTTGGTTCACGCGGGTCTCGAGAGCCTTGAGGACCTTTTGGCGAAGACCCAGGTTCGGCCTGTCAAGGAGGTTCTCGACCGCCTTGATGAACTCGCCGATGGTGAGAAGGTTGAGGAGGCTTGCGAGCGACTCTCCGCACAGGGCGTAGAGTTCCTTGTGAGCCTTCACGGCGTCGGCGAGTAGTAGGAGGTTCTCGAGGAGACCGGCGTAAAGCTCGCGCACCTCAGAAGCCTGCATGTCGTCGTGCTCGGTAATCTTACGAACTTGGATCCGTAGCCTCCTGCTAGAAAGCAGGGCGGGAAGGGCTGAGAGCTGGTTAAGAGCGGCCGCTTGAGACACCTGGGGATCTAGTTTACTCGTGGGCCGGAGAAGAGCGCTGGCGAGATTGGGTGCGGGCTTGAACAAGTCGCCAATGAGGCTAATGAGCTTGACAAGAGTGTCGAGCTGCGTCTTGACATTATGGCGGTCGAGGAGCTCGGTCACGAAGCTAAGGACGCCCTCAGTGGGGCCCTGTTTCTCAACGAGTAGAGCAATGATGGCGAACAGGAACTCGTCCGCGCCGAGGGTATCAACAAGCGACATGAAAATTCCAAAGCGACGGTGCGAAGGGATATGCTCGTACGAAGACGTAAAGCTCAAAAGCAGCTCGGACGAGGCAGCCACGACACTCCTCTTGCCCTTGCGAAGCGTAGCCACCAGCGGCGGCACAACCTCCTTGATGACTTGGTTGACGACATGCGCCGAGTAGTCGTCACTCTGTCGAATGACGGATACTCCCATAAAAGTAAAGATCGGCATGACACAGTGGATGACCACGTCCGGCGCCGTCGTAGCGAGACTGGCGATGAGGAGAAGCGCGGCGTTCTGGACGATGGGGCTGGAAGACTTCTGGATGCAGTTTACGAGTAGGTCACCGTAGCCGTCGGAAATTGTAATCTTGAGGTCACTGTTGGCCTTGTACGCGGGGAGCATGGCATGAAGGCTCGTGAGGACCACATTTTGCAGGTAACCCAAGTCTGATCCGACGGCTGCGCGGAAGGTATGTAGCTTGGCGAGGGTCGAGAACAGGCTCGGGAGAAGCGCGGCGTGGGCAGCGGGGTCGGAGAGCTCAATAAGCTGGAGGACGAAAGTGGCCTTCTTTAGCGCAGCGGCAATCTCGAGCCCTCCGTGGAGAGGAGCCCCCCGAGTCATTTCGTTGCTCAGGCGGCGTCGCTTGTTCGGGGGAGAGTCGACTACGATGTTGGTCTCCATGTGAATGGACTCGAGGAAGTGAGAGAGGATCTCAGTGGTCAACTTGACACTTCGTAGAAGTTCAGCAGCCTCGACTGCTGTGGGTCGAGGCATATCCTCAGCATCCGATCCGCTAAGAGCCAAGTCGAGCATCTGGTTGGCAATGGCCGACTTGTTCTCGGGCCTCATCAGGGGCCAGAGATTCCGAAGGCGCACGAATATGGATTCAATGAAATCCTCCCGAGTATCTTTCGAAGTCACGACAATCTTCATGAGGGCCTGCAAGCCTGTCGAATCATTTGCAACGACGACGCCCACAAACCTCTTGTTAAGGTCAGACTCATCAAGGCGTTCTTTCCGGACAAGCTCAGATGCCTCCTCGGCGGTCAAACCCGCCCACCAATTCAACGCGGGCAGAAGCACCTGTGTTCTGCTGGTGGTACCGACAGATCGAACGCGGTTAAGCGCCTTGAGGAGACGTTCCTTTACCAGCAAGAAGGGAGTGCGAAGAAGGGCACCAGCAGCGAATCGGAAGAACGCAAGCCTTACGGGCGGGGGGAGGCGGTCGGTTTTGCCCTCGTCAGCATCCTTGGACTTGGGTGGTCCGATGGCAGACTCGAATAAGAAGCTGACGTGGTCTTGGTGCATTACACATTCCTCGAGAGCTGGGATAAACACCGTCTGTAGGGTCTTGACAGCGGCGTCACTGTTCATGGCATCCCTGCCTTGGGAGCTAGGATAGAGCGTCTTCGCCCAGACCGCCGCTCCTTTCGTGTTGCTAGAGTACACCTTGTTAAGAATAATCAAGAAGTCAGCAGCCGCCTGACGCACTTTCTTCGACGGGTCGCTTAAGGCCGCGAGGATATACGGTAAGAGGGCCTGGAAGTCGACATTCTCGTTTTCGCATGCCTTGAGTCGGTTCTTTGCCATCTCCAATGCCTTGGCCTTGGCCAGTGCCGGGAAAGTTCCACACCAGATGCGCATGAAGAAGACAAAATACGTCGGGCTGGTCAGGGCTTGTTCTCGAGATAATATCGGTAGGGAGTCGAATTCGTGGAGCACCTTCTCGGATGACGAGTCTATAATCGCACGCAAGAAGACTTCACTAGCCGGACCGAAAGCATCCCCAGCATCGGGACCAAGATCAGAGGCCAACCCGCCCGACAGTTGAGCCAACTTGGCCAACTCGTCACTAATGCTCTCCTTCGGTACTTCGACGGCATCCTCCGTATCCATAGCACCCTCCTCGGTGGAGGGAAGCATTTTGCTTTGTCGGAGAGACAGATCCAATCTCATCTCCAGCTGGTCCATATCGAAGTCGACGTCGGTAATGGCGCTCTGAATGATGTCGCCACACTCGCCAGGGTCCTGCGAAAGCTGGACAAGCATGGACCCCAGTTCTTTCCTCACACTTCCACTCTTGTCCACCTCTTCACTGAGGTTCGTGCCAATCAAAAGCAGGGCCTTAAACAGGACCGAAGTTTGCTTGGGTGTCAGGACGTTAGCCCGAATGAGGGCGCCGACGATTGGAAGTCCGCGAGCACAACCCTTCCTCGCTGCGCGATCAATCATTGCCAGGCAAAGGCCGTTCGCAAGTCTATCAACCTTCCATTCCCGGCCAATTTCAACGAGGTGTTTCTCGACCTCGGGGACCTTTAGGAGGGCCTTTGCAATCTTTCCAGAGACCTGTTTGGCTGACCTGTGCTGACCCAGAATAGAGAGACAAACCAATCCCGGTCGTACGGTCTCGCCCGTCCAGCCGAGCGCAAGCTGCTCCATAAAGGCCGACACGGCAGCGTCTCCAAAGTCGCCCTTGGACACGAAGACAGTGAGGGCCATATAGGCAGCGATCTGAGCCTGAGGGACTTTCTTCATCATGAGGGCCTCGCCGAAGATGGGGCCGAGTTGGTGGAGAAGAGCCTGGTCATTGTCGTGTTGCAGGGCCTTCCGACCCGACTTGTTCTTATCTACTAGTCCATTCACGGCCTCGGTCAAAATGCCACCCCAAAAGGCGATTAAGGTTTGGTAGTGCTGCTTCGTGCTGCAGGACTCGAGGGTATATTCAGAGATCAGAGCGAGGAAATTGCGATGGTGTATGGTCTGGTGGACGAGAGCAGCTCGCGGGGGGGGTGTAAGCGATCGGATGTAGGGCTGAAGGAATCGATAATCATCGGGTATTTGAGATGGGAGGATCGAGAGGAGCGTGATGAAAACGGGTAGGGTATGATAGGGAAGGAATGTCGTGAGTAAAAAGGCAGTGTTAAACTCGTGTATCCTAAAAAGGTGCGGATCGAGATTAGCGACGTTCTAGAAGTCTCCTGTGAACGGGTCTGAGTTCCAAATGAGGTTTCCTCACCTGAATCGTCGGATCAACCACTCAATGGCCTTGATTGCAGGCATCAACCGCAAGCGGCTACCCACAAGACGCAGGAAAGACTCAACCTTCCCGTCGAGCTCCCTATTTTCGGCTTCGGTGAGCTGCGTCCTATCCTCGTATTGGCTCTGTTCGCTAAAGAGAGTGGCGCGGAACGGGGTGAAGCGGGCGTCGAGACCGCAGAGCTCTTCGAAACCTTCATAGCACACGGGGTAGAGGCTCTGGAAGCTCTGACTCGCGGCAACCTTGGGTTCCCATATCAAGGACTTGGAATGGGCGGCTTTCTGGGCTTTGGCGTTCAGAGTCGTCTTGGATTTGGCGGCAATCTGCGCCAACTGCTTGGCGAGAGAGGTTGCCATTTTGGAAGGTTTACTATGAGTGTCTAGGGGGAATCACGCATCATAGTTTTGGGTAATATTGGTTCTCCTATTGCTCCTTCGCAGGCGTTGGCAGCACCCTTGGAATTCTGTCGTCGAATTTGCGACTAGAAAAAAAAAAAAAATATCTAGGACGTCGATTGGGGAAAAAAAAAATATTGAGACCCAAGGTTTAGCCGTCGAGGTGGGATTGGTGGTGGACAATTGACAGTGGGCTTCAGTTGGCGAACCCCACCATTGATAACTTATCGATAAGCCCTGGGCAGATATTGCACCGCAATGTAAGTGCGTAAACCTACGTTCCCCTTCACTCATCTAACAACAGGAAGAGGAAAAGGGGTGGAAGGACAAAAATGAAACAAAAAAAAAAAAAAAAAAAAAGAGAAAGCGAAGAGAAAGGTCCGGTTGGAGAAAAAGAAAGGCAAAAAATCAAGATGTTTTAGCATCTCCCATACCAGGAATCGAACCAGGGTCTATGCTGCGCTCATTACATGAGAGAGCATTATGCTAACCACTACACCATATGGGATGGTGGATTGTTGAACAAGCGCCTCTCGGTCTGCACCTAGGAGGCTAGTGCTGCTGCAACTGGCAATGTGAACTTCTTACCAACAGGGTAAGTCTCTCACGGGTGAGAAGGCTGGTAATTCTACTTGCATGTTCTCGAAACTTATAATAATTACAGGAGCCACAAGTGTGCAAGGTGTAAGCCTGGAACTGCATGAAGTCAACGTTGGACTTTAGGCACCAGCTCGAATAATGAGTGCGACTACGAGGTGCAATCTTATAAATATGAGAGGCAAGTTCAATTATCTCATCATTGCCTCAAGTCCAGTGGCAATCAGTGTCCGTCGAGTACTGAAAAGCTCTTAACAAACAATGTATGTTCTTCTGGTGTCAAACAGGCTGGACATGGCTAATGTAGCAAGAGCAAGAAATCGCCAATCGAGAAAAGTTCGAAATGTGCAAAGAAGTCGTCGCTCAAACCACACATGTATGCCGGCACACCGTCGACGAGCCTACAACGCTTATCGAGTATAACGACTGTTGGAAGTGTGGTCGGAAGACAGGCGGAACTTCATATCTCGGCGCAACGACAAGAAGGGATCCGTGTGACGATTGCAAGGAGAGTGGCGCCTGGGTTAGGAACAACGCAGGGAGGTGGATAAGATGCTGGCGCATAAACCAGGCGCGAGTGTCTCTCACGTGATCAACTATTCCAGCTTGAAGCCAACTGAAGTCCCAGATTCGCCCTGGCTGTGTTGCTTCACACCTTCACAGATGATGTCAACACCTAACGAACGACATTTCCCATCATCCGAACTAGATTTTCACAAGCCACTTTCTCTCCTGAGAAGAAATTGGGTGGCTATAGAGGACCAGCCATCATATCGTACTCAAGTATGTTTGTACGACTTGTTCGGTAGAATTCGCAAGAGAGAATGGCATGTCTGATCTCTTAAGAAGCATTTATCCCGCCCACAAGTTATTTAAGATACGAGGTTCCTAGAGCTATTAGGGCGCCCTTTCGAATCTAGATTTTGCCAGTGCTAGAGATGGCACCTTGATAACTGAATGATCTCCCGGAAGGGGTGGAAATACTCAGCGGCAAAACGCCCGTCGAGAAGGTTGGCTCCGGATGGCATGACGGTACCCTGATTGTCTTGATTCCCGTACGACTCAAAGCCATACACCATATAGTACGGATTAGAGCCGATAGCAAACTGTTCGGTCCTCGGACCGTTGAGTTTAAACGACCCCACCTCGGCCCCGACCTCAACGGGAGCTTTACCTCGGACCCGAGCCCGGAGGACACCATTCCCAGCCGAAGGCTCGCCGATCTTATCATCGCAATCAAAATTAGCAAGCCTGAGATGATCTCGTACATCGTGGCTGAGCGGCGAGACTGCCAGGCATCAAGTACAAGTCCCAGATTCAACAACAACGTACACACCACCCCAATCCCATCGCTGACCGGCTTCCGAGGGCGTCTCCCCACTCCCAGAGTCGAGAAAACGCCTCGCGGTCTCCAATACGGTCACGATGTGTTCGTGCCTCGAGGCCAGCCTCAAATATTGCTGTGCTGGCATATTCACACTGGCACCTAGACTTGTTTTGGCCCCCAATATCCGTCTGGCTGACCTTCACATTGGGAATCGGGTGTAGCTCGAGTTAGAGCGGTGAAGCCATCGTGAGGCGTAATTCTGCACGAAACTCACATCGTCATCCGGCCGATTCATCCAGAGATCGTCGCCGCTAATCTGACACCTCGAACTTCATGATGGGTGTGGAAGCATAGACCCATTGTTGGTCTAGAGGCACTGTCCAATCAACCAACCATAAACACAAAAGTTGGCAGCTCACTCGTACTCTGTATTCCTATGTATTCACATGTACCAGGCTACAAGCGTTTTCTTCCATCACTCTACTGTAAGTGTGAGTGGGTCTCTCTGTTGACATCTCAGGGGTGTGTGTCTCTCTCAAGAGCAGGCCAGTCGTTATCCCTACACACCCCTTTTCATCTCTCTTACACGTCTCTCTCTGTGTGGCCCAAAGAGCTATCGCGACATGCTTTCCCTCTTCTCTTCGATTGACGATATTGATACACTCCGGGATAAGCAGTGGCATAGAGGACTAAGCGGTGATCAACTTGGCTCCAAGCCTAGCCAACACATAAAGTGTCCTAGGCATCTTTGCTTTTTTCATTTCTAAGGTACTTGGACTGAAGGGATCAATTACTACTGCCTTCTACCTCCTGGGGCGTCTGGTCCTCATCCCGTCTCCGAGATGAAGTTCGTAGAAAAGGGGTTCAAGGTTTCTTGCGTGAACATCAACACCAGGCACTCCCGCAATCGATGAACATCGGTTCGTCACACCCCTGAGAGATCTTGTTAAAAAGGGGGAAGAAATCACCTTGACTTCCAAGATCCACTCCGCCTTTTCTTACAGATTCGGCGGCCCCCCTTTCCCTTCTCGTCTACACATCCCTTTAGGCAGGAATTCAAACGAATAGACCCAGGTGGCAGCACCGGGATCGAGTAGCCTCGGCATCTTGCTGGCTTAGACGAAGGCCAATATTGGGGGCCATGCATGCCATCGTTGTCTATGCCTATTCACAGGCGGAGGAGGAGGGGGCGTGTGACTGTGGGAAGGGGGGAGGGAAGGGGGGAGGGAAACGGAACCCGCAACCGTTGGCTTGAGCCGTGATCGAGAACTGGCCCGTCCCGATTTACGGTTGAGACTGACCACATGGCTCGGGACTGGAACCAGTCAAAGTCTGTCTCTAAGCGCGGGGCGCAGACGCGGGAAGAGTCGCGATATCAGAGACCCTCCGCGATGATACATCTCGATCCGTGTGGGTATTGGGGGCCATGCTTTGGAGCTGATATATCCGTGCAAGCTTCTCTTAAGAGTTGGAGACCTGGCACGCTCAGGAGACACACCATTGTGTGCTCAAGCATGAGATATCACATATCACATGGACAGAAGACAGGGCAACCATTGGTTAATGCCCCTCCCCCCCTTAAACCATCAATGGGCTTCAATCCAGTACTTGTAGATAGCATCACAATAATGGAGCGAGTTACGAACCGGCACGGGGTTGCAAGTGTGACAGCCTACATGATAAGGCGGGGCATGCATAAGAAACAAACGAAGAAGCAAATATGTCTCTTAGGACCTGCTTCTTCCGCTTTACTAGAGGAGACGTGTACTTTCAAATAGTCTTCCTCGCCATCTCAGCAGAAACCTAGCCATCACAGAGTCGCTCCTTCCTCCCTAAATCCCACACTTCCGCCACTCCTTCCTCATCACCTCCTACCTCTCCGCCCCTCGCTCCTTCCCCAATCTTACAATCCCCCCTCAAAAACACCTGCTTATGCGTTATATTGAGTAATCATGCCGCGGATTATCATCAGCAGCTGATGGCCCGTTGGTCAGACGGCGCAGTGTCTTGGAACATAGAGGTTGGTTTACGGGAGAGGTCCTGAGCTCAATGCCTGGCGAGCGAGAGAATTTTCATGATTCCGAAACTGCCGAGGGCATCCGCTGGTGCCCAAGGACCGAGTAAAGAAATCGCCAGCACGACAAAGAAGACCCCTGTTTCATAAGGTGGTTCGCGGGCGCGTGAGTAGCTCGACCTGGTTAATGGCGCAACAGACGCTTTTTTTGCTGTTTTAAAGAGAAAAAGGAAAATTGTAGTAGGAACCTGGAATTCGACGATGTGGAAACCAAGAGAAGAGGAGCATTCATGAGAATTGCTCTCCTCTTATCCCTCGGAGATATCCAAGATGACGATCGCCACACCACCGTCGACAGTTAGAGCCTCCAGTTTAACTCCCGGTGTCGTTCTTACCCTAAAGGTTCGATGTCGCCGTCAAGAGGGAAGGGAGTTAACGGGTGACGGAGAAGATCGGGAGCAGTGAGGGGTTTCCTGCACCCTTAAAGATGCGGGCAGCCAGGCAAGTCTGCATGGATTTAGGTAATCGGTTCCTCGTCCGCCACGACAATTTGGGCTCACGCCCACATCATGATGATAATCTCCCTGGTGACTTCCTAGATTCGGTGGTTAGACTCTCTGATCGAAACGTGCATCAAGCGAAGGGTGTCCTTCGTTTGCTTGAAGCCGCCGGTTTTCCCTGGCTGCAGCCAGCCACGGTGCTCCCTTACAAGCCCTCTGTTGTTGGAGCGATGCTACTGGTTGCTTTACAACAGCCCAGAAGCATCCTTGAACCGGAAGCGGTGCATCCAACGCTGTTACCCCATGTTCATCAGGCGATCGCTAATTGCCAACGTGAGAATGAGCGAATTACCTCTCGTGAGGTGTGTCCGCTTCTTGTCCTCTCTCACCCCGCAACCACCACATCCCGGAGGAAAGGAATGGTTCCTTCAACGTAGGATTAGAAACCACGACGCTAGCAGCGGTAGTGAAAGCGGGCCGTGTCTGTAGTGCAAGTTTCATGCAGCCACCCATTTTGCAGGGTTGAAATTGTCGTGCGGAGACTCTCGGACCCACCTCGATTTTTGATTGATATAAAGATCACTGATCTGTAACTTCGCCGCTCTCCTCTTTCCAAGGTAGCAGCTCGAGTTAGGACCAGCAATCGTTGGCCCTTATAATGGCGTCAATTGATCGCTATTTTTGGGACCGGGTTTTCATTGAAGCCTTGCATATCCTTCCCTCAGAACGACAGGGGCGGCGCCACCAGCGTCTGCGGGAAGAAGGGGTAAGACCGATGTGATTGCCAGGATATCATGCTTCTTGAGTGGTTCACCGTTCCCAAGATATGCATACTCGGCGTAAAACAAGTCTCTTAATCAATCCTTCTCCCTGCCGGCCTGACTCGGTGTGTCCGATCACTGTGGGCTACAAAAGGTCTTGATGCCCCGCCTTGCTTGGGTTCACCCGCCGCTCGTCTCCTTTCCAAGACGTTAAAATCGACACAGCCTATTGCCCAGCTCCAATGGAAGCGAGTATTCGATGCGATGTGTATTAAGGGAGGTAGGGAGGCTCGCTTATTCGGCGCCGTGGATGCAGCTATCCCAAGTTATTGTCGATGGGCATTGCTCGGGTTATCCGGCGCTTGACGCAAAGGGGAGTTCGTCGGATCGTTGCGGTCGGCAGCAGGTGTCGAATCACCGAAATTCGGAGGGGTGATGGCTCCATCGTGACCCTCTATTGAGGCATTTCGTTGCGAGTTTTCGCATGGCCGGTTCGTCGTCCAAGGGGTTTTCAGACATTGGCCCGTCTCGAGAGACGCCGGAGGTTCTAAGCTATTGAGAAAGATATCCTGTGAGAAACACCGTCTGATTTTCTCCTCACCGAGACAGACGGGCACCGAATTCTTTTGCAATGGCGTTTCTGAGCCTCTAAAGTTGGAGGGGGTAACCCACTAACCCCCACCAAAAGTCTGCCTGATACTGGCTAGGCCAGTGTTATGGCATGGTGTTGTTCGATGGCGGATATCACGCCGAAACGCATCCGGTCTCCTCTCTCTTCGACAAGGGATTGTCTGAGAGTGGAAGTGCAGCTGTCGGCTTTGCTGAGATGGGGGCGCCGTCAATTCGAACCGAATAATGCAGACGCTAGAAGGGGTGTGGGCCGATTCCAGCAGTTGGGAAAGATAGTAAGATGGATCCGCCCTCCCAGGCAGACCAGTCAGCCTTACATCCAGCGCACTGTCGATGGAGCGCCACGGTAGCGGTGCTAATGTCGGCACTGGCTGCTTGTTTATCTTGGATCAACATCCCATCGATCAATTGGTTAACCAGACTTGATTTGGCATGACCAAAACAACATCGATGGTGAAGCAGACCCACTCATAGCCCGGGTTCAGACTTTAGAGTAGGATTCAACCTCCCCCTGCCTTGAACAGGCGAGCCCGTACAATCCTTCGGATGAAAAGCTCCGTCTCCCTTCTACTGCAAGTCATTCTTCTCTCACCACCGAAGGCAACTCAACCATCAATCTTACCCAACAGACTTCCCAACAGTGGCCCGTTGAGGCCCGCTAGCGATCCTTGATGAAACGGGAAAACAACCTTCTGACTTACCAGACAAGGATTACGACGCAGCTATCCACTTCCCCGTCTCCAAGGACACACTTACGAAGAATGCACCGGTAACGCAGGTAAACTTTCCCGGCATGAAACGGAGATTCAGCTGCATCCGCGTCCATGGGACATCGGGAATCAAAGAACGGCCTTTGTTTCTTGCTCATTGACATACCGACACGAGGCCTCACGTCCACTCAAAGGGGTAAGATAGTGGAGAATGGGTGAGAAACCCGGGTCTTTTGATCCGCTTTCTCAAGCAAACCCCGGCCTGTTTCCGGTCTCCGCTATCCATTTCTACTCCCTACCTAGTCTTGTTGCATCCCCGAACGCCTCTCGTCCATCCAAATCGCATGCGGGAAAGAAAACAAGGCGATATTTGACGTTGCCCCTCCCCCTCCCCTTGATTTCGCGTTTGGCCAGGGGTGTACGAAGTAAACGAGTATGCTTAAGTTTACGGAAACCTGATACCCCTGTTTAGCGCTCCCACAAACTTGTCGCTCCTCTTCGACAGGTTTCTTTTTTGCTAGGGCTTGGGTTCTGTCCACTCTCGTTTTTGTGGCAACGCGTAACGCACACAATTTGGCATTAGAGGCGATTCCACCTTATCCTAAGAATATATATATATATACTGCTACACCACTCCATACTTTCCTCTCAGAAGTTCTGCGTACAGAGTCACTACAGTTCAGAGCGAACATCTTTCCGTCGGTCGCCCACTGGCAAACAATTTCTCTTCAGCCCTTATTATGGCCCATGCTCCTACATTCTTCGTCGTTGACGCGCTTCCTGTCCGTCATTCCAAAAACCAGGTCTCCCAGTCCCTCGCTTTGACCACCTTGTTAACAAACGAACAGGACACCCCTACAATGGCCCTCTCTTTTTTCCGAAAAAAGAAGGAGCGTGACAACAAGGAGAAAGAAAAGGGAGAGGAGCCCAACAGAAGAAACAGGGACCTCTACGGAAAGAGCTATTACGTTGTGCGCCCGCCGCCGCCGAGTCCCCCACCTCAGGAGGAAAACTAGAAGTGAAGCGCTTTGCGATGCTTGCTTCCGTGGCTGGAAACCGCCCGGGATATCTCCACTATCCGGCGACCCTTCTGTCGGCCAGCTCTGGCGTACCAAACGCCATCTCCTCTGCCGGTTAGTTCGTTTGTCTGGAACGATTCCTGGTTTAAGACGAGCTCTGGGATGATCTGGTGCGCGGTAAGCTCAATATTGCTCCCAGAATTGCCAGTACACTTAGAAGCTAACCACCCAAGCTCCCATGCTAGATATGACTTTCAACTTGCAATTCAAAAAGGAATAATTTTAAAATTCTGGAATGCTTTTAGAAAAGAGGTGAGAAGGACAGGAAAAAAAAAATAAAACTTAAAAGGGGGGCACCGTTTGGTTTGATTTCTGTTTTGTTTACTTGGATAGCGACCCATTCTTGCCTCGCCATGACTTTCTGTGCAAGACCGATACCTGTAGCCTGACTGTACGCTAGGAGCATCGGAGAAAAACGAAGCCCGAAGGCATGGTTTAAGAGTGTACGAGCTGTTTTACGATTTCTAATGATTGTCTCTCTTCCAGGGAGTTCTATATAATGAATAAAGTCGGTTGAAGTTGGAATAAAGTTTGCAAAGACCTCTTCTTACTGCACGTCGCGGCAGTCACTGGTGTGTCGTCGAGGCTCGACTTACACGAGCAGCACGCGGCTAAAATGGCAAATCAATTGCATCCGATGTGCCTCTGCCAGTGTTGCCCTCAAACACTGATCTGGCTAGCGTATGCCTCGGTATATAACGGAATTTAGTGCTGAAGGAGGGGCGTAGATCGAGTCCTCACTCCCCATGGCTGGCGAGACTGGAACCTGAAAGGCTCTGTAACTGCGGGTTCCCTAGAGGGAGATTCTGGGTACTTTGGGGAGACAAGGCCAATTGACCACACCCTCACTGAAAGCGCGACAGCTCTTCCAACTTCAGTTGGTCGCGATGGAGGGCTGCCACAGGCCAGGATTGGCCGGAGACAGTCAAAAGTGTTGCTTCGCAAATAGCTTCACTTTTGAGCCGAATCGAACGTCAAATTCATCGAAGGAGGAAGCGCATTCGGCAGGAGGTGATGTGTCGTGAATAAATATAGGGTCCGTCGCCCAGGTTCGAGATGGGTTTAACTGCTCCTGAATTTCCTCAAACATCCTTCTCAAGAGACGTTAGCATTATTTCTAGAGCAAAAAAAAATAAGAAAAGAAGAAAAGAAAAAAAGAAGAAAAGAAGAAAAGAAGAAAAGAAGAAAAGAAGAAAAGGAAGAAGAAGAAGAAGAAGAAGAAGAAGAAGAAGAAGGCAAAAACAATCTCAGAAGATGTCCGAGACCCAGGATATCGACATCGAACTAGGAAAGCTTCCTACACCAAGTGAGGAAAGCTCAAGGCCTGCCACAGCCCGAGAGCTGTGGGATGAGTACGCGGATTGTAAGTCCATAGTCACCTCGTAACCCCATCGGTTAAGATCGGTTAAGCCTGATCCTTTCTACCCGACTAACAGGTTGTCCTTAATCGCTATAGCACAGACGGGCTTGCCAGGACTGGCTCTTGCACTAGCCAGCGATGCGACTTTGGGTAACCATTGCGTGCACCTTCCGGTGTCGTATATGTGTGGAATGTATGAAGAGGGGAGAGTAGAAGCTCTTGTCGCCAAAGTTATCCAGCGAGAAAAGGATGGGACTGCACCAGCCCGAGGCGAGTACGACGAGCTCTACGAGGAGCTGTCTGCAACGCAGCGGAATCATCGTGAGTATACGCCACCGCCAGGGTGTCAGAGAGCCCACGGCTTCCTTCAAATGCCACACAGATTGACGATATGAACGTGTGGTGAGGAGATGAGAGAGTTGTGTAACGATGCTAATCCTTGAACTGCAAAAGTCAACACGGTCCTCAGCCTTCACGCCGTGCACAGTTTGGACATACCTCCAGAGAAGCACATGGAACGTTTGGAGCATATCTCCTGGTTCTATACTGGTGACAAGAGCCCCGGGCTTCCTTTCAATAGGTCTCCGGAGATGTTCAGAACCGTTGGGAAGAAGAGCGCCGTGGAAAAGTTTCTGGATCGGATTCTCAGCCGCCGTCTGGGAAGGTTGCTGGTATGTCGGCCCGCTTATATCCTCGCGACATGAGCCTCATTCCCTCAATAGTCCGCTAACGGAATTGGTGTTTCGTTGTGCCTAGTTTTGGGTCAAACCGACAGAGTTCGAGGCTGATGGCTGGCGAATCTCGAGAATCGGGATGAACAGAAGCCATATCGTTGTGACCACCATCACTTTCATTGGAATCATGCTTGCGTGTTTCCTCCCTATCGGCCTTTTGGTGTTCGGAACCGGCTCTACGACCGCATTCAGCGGCGTTGCCCTGGGAATAAGCGTTGTCGCAGTGGCGGTGATGCTGTATGGCGGCAGAAACAGTGCCGGCATCTTTTTGGCTGTTCTCGCGTATCTCGCAGTCATTATAACGGCCATCCTCAGCCGACGGTTCGCCATTTCCTGAGTGACGGACACGCCTGCTGTCGGGAGTCGTGTTGGGAAGCGATGGCAGTCTTGGAGATGGGGGGACAAGCTAGGCTTTGAAGAGATTTCCCGAGTATGACGTTGTTGATGTGGAAGAGAAGGTAAGTAAAGGGGAGGAGGCTTGCGGAAGTTTCATGACTCGTTGTTGTCCGTCCGACCGTTCGTCTAGTTTTGTTTTTAGTTTGCCGAGTGTTGCGGCGCAGTCGTTCGTTCAACGAAAAAGGGGGTGGCATGTTGCCGAGCTAGGAGGAGTAGCCTGATGAATAGAACTCTTCGTCAATCTGTATCTCATCGCTCTAGACCGTTTTCGAGGAAATGTAGACAAGAGTTGCCCAAGCAGAATCAACTGTGAGGACACCTAGCATGAGGTGATCCTTCGAAGGGTAACTAAAGTGCTAATGGGATCATATGGAGCATACTACTGCGTAAGAGAGCAGACATGGACGGTCCAGAGTAGGGAAGGCTGCGGTGTGTCCCCGGACACACGTACAGTCGTCGAGGAGAGGTCATTTGACTAATGGTAACCGAAACCAAAACACTACTTCCTACTTGTACTAGACAAAAAGGCGACCCAGTGAATTTCCACCAGCACCCAAGCACTAATCTCGGGCGCGTTCTCCCCGAAAATTACAAAAGAAGGCGGCCGTACCTAGGAGTATGTACTCCACACGTTCACCTCGCTCTTTCGCTGTTCCACGTGAGATGTGTACATTGGTCTCCCACTATATACATAAATACAAACGAATTGCGAAGTAAACAGAACATTGATGCCTCGCGGTACTTTCGTTGTATACCCACGGGTTATTGGTCAATCTCGGAGTGTCTCCGGACGCAGCAGGCTCTGTCGCCCAGTGAAAGACCTGTCCCGTCGATGATCTTGAAACGTCAATATATCGTCGATTGAATAACCCGTTGTCTCTGCTCTGCTGCTCTTCTGCTCTTCTGCTCTTCTGCTGCGGGTAATCGTCGCGCAGGGGGAAGCTAGCCCGCGAGGGTCCATCCCAGGGGGTGGGGGAATAAGGTAGGCCAGATCGTCATGAGACAAACCCGAAGAAGTGAGCAAAGCTGCAGGCCTGTGGATTTTGGTTCCAGAGTCTTCTTTCCTAGCCTTGGATCCGTGCTCCAATTTGAGCCGCGAACTGCAGGGTTGATATTAATAAGGGGGCTAATCCCTCAAGTCTGTAGTCCCCTCTGACTCCGTGAAGTACCATGGGAAACCCAGGCCTCTGGTGCCTGGTGATCCTTGCTTGTTCCTCATTCATCTCTCCGGTTCTATTGCACGCACCCCCGGCACCTCCACCCCCGGTACCTGCAATTCCCCCGATATTTGGCTCTTGTTCCTCACCACGGATTTTGTTAGCAGGTGGGTTTCTCTGTGCGTCCTTTGCCCTACTGTCCTGGTCTTCAGACCGCCAGTTTTCCCTCACTGCCAGTTGGTATAAGCACGGTAAGCTTAAATGAAGACAGCGCTGTGCTGTACCCACACCGCACACTCTCACCGCCCTTTCCCGCCTGGCCCCTACAACTGGGCCGAGCCAGGCTACCCCACACATTCCAACATCATCAATTAGACGATGACAAACAAAATCGGTCTACCAACGCGCCAGCGCGCCAGCGCCTCAGTCCTCCCAGTCTCACGCACAAGCTTCGAAGCTCCTGGAGGAACCGTTATGTGAACGAGAAAGACTAATGCGCATGGTGCATGGAGTGTGGTTGAGGATGAGGAACGATTGGGACAACGCTGCAGGCTGGCTGTCCATGCAGGTGATAACCGAGCACCCTCGTACCTGACGCACACATTGAAGGAACCGGTTCGTCGGAGTCGTTCCCGTTCGCAGAGGGGACGCATGCGGTGCCCGGAAGGCTTGGAGGCGCTCGGAAGGCCGGCCAAAAAGAACCCCACCAAGGTCAACCTTCGCCCAATTGAATTTGGCTAACAGAACTTTTCGGGAATTGGCTCGGAGAAACTCCGCCGGATTCCAGCGGCGGGCTCACGGGAATCCCACTGAGCACCCAGGCACTGTACCGCACTGCTGGGCTGGCGAGGCGGATGGCGCATAATTCACAGTTAATCTGAGGCGTAAGATGGCGCCGAGCCCCGGTCGTTTGTCTGCCCATCAGTGTCACATTCAACTCCACAGGAATTCGAGATAGGTTTACTCCCAGGTCTCGGCTGGCGCCACGAAACCCATCACTGGCTTGAGCTCGTCGAACTGAATAAGATCCCTGGTGGCAGAGCACGCTCCTCTCCGGACCAGGACGATGAAGATATGGCAAATTGTCCCCAGAGCGACGGAACCGAGTACATGGGGCGGATATATATGTACGGGCCAAGATCATGGGTTATCGACGGAAGTTTATCCTACTCGTATCCAGGAAAGGCCGAATTTCAGGGTATCTGCCTCTAAAGTGTTGGCTGCTCATCAGTGAAGGGCCGACGGGATACTCCCCACTATCGTGACCTATTCAGTTATTCAGTGGCCACCATCACGCGCGCGGAATTCCATCCTGGTGCTCTTTGCTGTTGGTGGATCGACGCTACGAATTGAGCACATTGATGCCAAGGTACGAACGAGGACGCCCTCACAACATCTCCAGGCCATGGATCACACTTCAAATGCCCTCACAATTTGTCAGCCGTCAAACTGCGATCTTTTCCCGTTGTGCCAACAATCGGAACACGATCATCTCCATCCATTACCCCCCTCCCCCCTTCTCCCCTCTTTTTTTTTTTTATTTTTATTTTTACTTTTATTTTTATTTTTGCTACGTTGGCATTCTCTCACAATGGATTCCAGACCCATCGCCGCCCCCAAACGCCAATCTGCCTGATGTGCTATACATTCGTACATCTTGGGCTTCGGATTTGCACAAACGCCTCAGTCTCTCGAAGCGGTGAGGATGCGATGGGAATGAAAACTGCACCTACTCGCCGTCGCCAACCCTCCATTTTCATCCATATCCTACTATTTGAAGCCTTGCGCCTCCCTGAAGACGCATGCCGAGGTGTTGTTGGCCTATCACTTCCCGGTTTTTCCAGGCCAGGAGCTGGCCCGGAGTCGTGACCAAGTCGTGAGCTTGTATTTTAGCTGTATCTCATGTGTACCCACCTCGGGTAGGGGTCAATCCCGCTCCCTTGCTCACATCTGTTTCTAAAGAGACCCCCTTTTATTTTCGTTTGTTTTCTTTTCTTTTCAAGCTACGAAGTACCTTCGGTATGGACAAATCGCTCTACATAGTCTCTGATAGACTCTGTCTGTTGCGCTCTTCATTGGGCTTCATCGGTCAAGTTATCATTGTTCAAGCGGGGAGAGAAGTAAAAATTAGCGACTACTCAGATGTCCATATTTTCTGTTCTTCACGTGGTTCTCGCTGAACCTGCGATACCGCGCAAACCTCTCGAGATTAGCCTGCTCACAAGGGAAGTTCTACTTTCTATTTCCTCCGTTCTTGCGTGGCGTGTCAGGCAGGAATCTAAGGGACTGTACGAGAGCGGGTGGTGGTACATGTCTAGAATAGGCCTGGTTGGCCGTGTTGGTTCAGATGAACAGAAGGCTCTGGCCCTCTGGGGGAACTGCAAGCCATAGTTGTCCATGACGGAAAGGGGGTGTGGGCCGGGTGGGAGGGCTTGTCTCAACTCTCACCTGGCATAGTTCGCAAAAACGGATGGTCGTAGACGGTAAGTTGCTTCTTTTGGCTGACCGTTCAGGGGGAACGTTCATAAGCGCAATCGATCGACTCAAGCGCGGGCTGCATTGTCAAGGCTTTTCTGCAGGCTACGGTCCGTGAAAAGTGTATGTATATCTGTTGCGAGCCTTGAAGGAATCTGGGGTTCTCTGTATGATGGACTTTCCCAACTCCGATCCGGGTAAGTTGCGCCTGCTTGTCTCTAGGACGACTCGGTTTGGATGGGTACCCATTCATCCATTCCATTCATCTGTGTCTTGCCCAGATTTGGGGTCCCTTGGCAAGGGGACGTCGGCGCAACGATCCTGGAGTGGGACAAAAGTCCGTCCATGAGAGCGGAGCAGCCAGGCGAGACAGCGGGGGTCGTTCGTTCCCAGTGCAGCCCGCAAACCCCCACTGTCACTGATCGATAAACGCAGCTCAGCTCCCGGCCCTCGAACCCCCGGTAAGACATGAATTTTTTTCATCCCCTTTTTATCAAGAATTATTACCGTTTTCCAGATTTCGTGGATTCCCTTGGAAATCTTTCAAGGCTAAGAGGAAGGAAGCTGACGTCTGAGAATTGCTCAGGCCGAAATATCTTGACAGCTGCCTACAGGCGACGCGTCCACCAATCAATGCGCCAGAGCCTGGCGAAAGCGGTGAACTCAGGGGCAGTTTGCACGTCTGCTTTCCCATTGTCGTGCGTTCTGAAGTTTCTAATGATGGGTGATGGGCCTTAATCATACAACTGCATTTGATCAACCATTTCTTCTACTCCTTCAGCCTCGAAACTTTCCATTTTCCTCGCTCGACGACGAGAATGCCAGACTACATCCCACCGCTTCAAGTTCAATACAGCGCGCCTGGCTGGCCGAGCGATCACCGGCGACAGCGAGACTGTCTGAGAAAACAAAGTCTCCATCAGCGGGTACGGAAATGCGACGCTATCAATGCCCACACGAAGCCTAGCGAATAGTGGTTTGCCGAGTCGATCAGTGTCTCTCTTCGAGTCCCATCCTATTCGCCCGAACAACCGAATCTGAGCGATGTGAATGGTGACATTCCCCTCTCCCCGCTTCCCACAGGCGGTCGCTCTTTTTCGTACAGACCGCCACTGATGATGCCGCCTGCTGGTTACCTCTTCCACCGGTCGCCCCGTCCGCGAAGTTCGTAAGCGCTGCCCGTCAACACCCGTACAGATACTAAATATTGATTATACTTCTCGGCACATTGGTTCGAGAGTAGTCAGTTCGTGATTTTAGAACAGAGATCAACGGTGTCTCCAGCACTACCCCCAACCCCTGACCAGAACAGTTGAGCCCCCACGTGGAGTAGCATAACATTGACAAAGAGGTATTATGTACGGAGTAGACGAACACGATTTGAGAGGGAAACGGGAGAAGTATCTCCACCACTCTTATCATCTCGAGCGGGTTTCCTACTCAAGAAGGTACAATGTAGCTTCAGAGTTCCCAAGTGGAAAAGTTTCCACGGCCGGGCGTAATGGAGGGACGGGACGTGACGTGCCAGTAGTTTCCAGAGAATCGAGCGTGCATCAACCCCCCGATATGAGCCAACCAGCTGTCTATAAATATCTTTCTTCACGGCAACCAGCGCTTAGGACTGCGCGACGTACCATCATCTCCCAGCTTCGCGATCAACCTCGCCTGAGATGCCTTATTTCACGTTCATCTCCTCTCTTGTCGGATCACCTTCGCCCGTAGACCGAGCAATAAAATTTTAATTGTCCCGAGCCTCGGCCGATTTTCTGTTCCGTTCTATTGATAACCGACCATGTACCGCCTCTCATTTCAAGTCCCTGCAGCTCCTGAATGCAAGTCGAGAGCCGTCGTCCGGGCCTCGTCGGACGGCGACCAGTTATATGAGTGCTGTGATGTTTGGCGATGTACGAAACCTTGTTCAAGTGATGGGCCGCAGAAGCCACAAGCCCGTCGTCGAAGCCTGCACCTCCCAGCCTCTCAGCCAAAGCGCTCATAGGCAAAGGTGAGTTGGCCTGCATATCGACCAGGTGTTCTACAAAGTCGGATCCCTAACACAACTTGACTATAAAACCCAGCTACCTCGGGCTTTAACTCAATCATGTGTTTCGGAAACGCTTGCCGGCTTTCGGCATTTCAATTTGGACTTGAACCTGTTCAAAACCCCCTTCTCAGGGGAAGGGAGAATTCGATTTATCAATCAGCCTTCGAAGGCTTTTCATGGATTGAATTTCTCAGGATCACGTGTCGATTTTGTTCAGCAACTTCGCTGAATTTAATCTTCCGAACCACCCCAAGACACCACTGGTTAGCACCTCGACGAAACCAGCGGATTCAAGGAACTAGGAGGCTTTGAGACGTTGGGCTGAGGGGTCGAAACGGGCCGACGAGGACTACTGCCGTGAGAGACATCGGCGGGCTCATCTGGGCCTTCGCGACGCAAATTGGCGCCGCCGATGCCGGCCCGAGGGAGATTGTGCCTCTTTCTGCACTCTGAGACGGAGCATTGCTCTAGGAATCTTTCGAAGAGTGTTCCTGATCACCCCAAGTCCCAAGGACACCAGGTTGAGGTCGTACGCCGAGATTCTATGAACCAAATTAGGCTTGTTGGGCTCTTTCCGGACCACCGGACCCACCCCCGCTTCTTCCGTCGGTTACCGCCCAGTCCTGCAGACCGATGGCCGGACAACTTGGATCAGAGACGGGCTTCAAAGCTTAGTCAGGGTGGGAGGTCATGGTCAAGCCAAGTGCTATGGCACAATGCATGGTCCCCACGCTGGATCCAGTGCACAGCAACACTGGGGCGGGACTTCAATTGGGGTATCACACGCTAGCAGTGGGCGCCAACGGGAGATCGAATGCTACGTGGTCCTGGTACAGGGCTGCTCTAGCGCAACGCAGATGAGGTCCCCCTTGTCATCGACAGTGGGGACTCGTCTTCTCCATCTCGTTGCCTCTGTTCGCGAAGCTCGCTCAACACGTTGAGGATGTCGTTCCCAACACGCGTCGCCTTTTATTACGAGAACGCACCTTGCACCTTACCGCACCCAACTGCGAAAAGGGATATACTGACCCCGCGATGGGCAACACGATCACCCAATGTTCTTAATTCGCCAATTCCGGTTTGGCCTGCATACGAATAGACCAGGGCTGACGTCCGTTTGCAAGACGTTGAGTCTTGTTCACCAATGATGAAGCATATATTCACCACCGGGAACGAATTGCCTGGTTCGCGCTTACCAAAAGGAGGTCTTCTCTCGGCGAGTGGCTCCACACGATGGATTTGAAAGCCTCGAGATAACAGGGCGGGCGAGATCCGTATGGCTACGAGGGCTCCGGAAGGGGAAGAGCCACCTCCGAACGGTTTCACAGCGTTGAACTAGAACTCCTTGGGAGCTCGTGTTGTTCCTGTCAGGATTGCCCCTCGCCCAATCCACCGACGTGCTCCTGAGGGGATCTCGTAGGAGACTAAACGAAAAAACAACAGCGGGTATTTTTCCTCCCCCCTCATCAACCCCTTTTTCTCACCTCTTTCGCACCAGAATTTCACCGTTTCGCACCTCGTTGGTGATCACGGGCACACACTCTCACCCCTTGTCGCTGCAGTCAGGCCCATTGACACCCTTGTCCTGTCCAGCAACCCTACATTTCTCCATGAAGTGCGTGTTTTTTTTAGGAAAAATTCTTCATAAGCACACAATATTAATAAATATTTTAAGCCATCCTGGCCATGTTTATACTTCGTTCCGGATTCTCAAGACATTCTGATTCTTACAAGTTGAAAACAATCGCGATCGACTGCATTTCTGATCTTTCTTCCCCATTTAAGAACCCATCTCCTTGTACCGAAGGACCAAACTCAACAGAAAACACAATGGGATGCGGTCTGAGAAACCCCTTCAAAGGCCAAAGTGCCCGGAAGCCCAAGGACCGTCGCCCCGCGGAAGACCCAGCCTCAAGGTCCGACTCTCCCTCATCGTCTAAGCTCCGGCCTGTGCATTTTGTCAAGTCCCCTCGCGGGAAGGCACCAAGGAATTCCCCTAGGTCGAGCGAGGCTTCTTGAAAGGTTTCCGGATCTAACCAGACAAGCCAAACACGCGATCCGAAACGATTTTTGTTCCTGTTCCTGGCCCTTCGTGCTTCGATCAGGCGCTGCTCGATAAAAAGAGTTCCATTATCAGTAGCCAAACTACCACTCGGAGGCGAAAAAAGAACATGAAAACGAAAAGAAAAGTAACAAAAAAGAGTAGGCGACGGGTTTCTTCCTCTCTTCTACTCATTTTCCACCGTATGCTCCTGTCCCAGCTTGTTTCGTTCGAGGGAAAGCACCCCCTCGAGGCTTGAGGGATCGAAATCAATCTTTACCGTCTATTTTATTATTCCTTATGTGTTAGATTCACGAAGGCAAGTCTCTTACGCCGTACGATCTATGACTTATTCCTGCCCAGAATGAATGCTAATTGCATCGGCACGCAAGCTAGGTCCATTTTATTTCGCGATATTTTACATAGATGTTTCTCGGCCCCGACTCTACTTAGCGCCAGGCAAATATTGATCAAGTCAGTAGCGCCGCAAAGAAATGAAGACGGCGTTCTCTGGCTGGAGGCAATTGGCGGGTTGGGCTGTTCTAGAATATCTGAATTTCGTTCCTTGGTTATATAGAATAAAAAAAACACGGGGTGGTCGATCGAATAAAAGTTGAACTGTCGTCGCATAATTTTTGTCCGCTGTCAAAATGCAATGTTCGTACTACAAGAGAAAGCCGCCCTGACGCCGATGGTCAGTAATGTCCTTCCGTAATGGTCCGGGTCCCTCAAGAGGAAGCGTTTTTGCGCATGCAGGCTGGCTGTGGATGGGTGAGGCGTCCGCATAATTAGCACTGATTGTCTCGGCTGGGTGCCAATTACATGGGGATACATGGATTGACTGCAGCCAGCTTTTGGCTCGCACGGAAGCCGTCCCAAGACGGGAGACGAGACACGCCAATCCTCCAAGTATCTTTTTCTTCTCATTTCTGTGATGTCTATAGTTGATGTGCTCTTGCATCGAGCTTCTCGGGCGAGACGACAAAATGTATAAATGCGGACGGCTTCTCCCTCGTGCTGAGAATGGGGAATGAGCCTAGAGCAGTTGACACTAGACACCGTCTGCTTCCCCGTTGTCACCGCTGCGCCCGCCTCTCCTCTATAATTCGTTAGCTAAACCTCCAGCGGACAATGGCCCAACCCGTTGACATCGAGATGGGCGAGGCGAATACCAACGACGCCTCCACCCACAAACGCGCCCCAGATCCATGGTTTGAGTATCCCGAAGATGGTAAGTCACGCCCAATGCCGTGAGACAGCCCGCGGGTAGCGTGTGCTAATCGTAGGACGATAGTAATCGATAAAGGCTTATGGGGCCTTAGCTTCCGTCTCTCCCAAGACAACACCCTTGGGCACCACCATCTTTACCAGCCGGCAGCGCAAAGGGCCCTGAAATATCTGGCCGCAGGTGCGCAAAGGCAGTTCCTCGCAGTACTTGAACGAGATAAGAACGGGCCCAGTCCTCCAGACGGCGAGTTTGACGAGCACAATGAAGACCTCTGTCGTATGCTGGAGAAATATTGTAAGTCTTATGTGTTTTCCCTTCTCATGTTAGAGCATCCTCGCTACCAGCGACATCGTCGGGAGAGCGAGGATGCCATATGAAGCGCCTAGTGCCCAATTGATCCTAACCCTTGTTCTTCCATTCGTAGATGTCTTCTTGCTCAAATTCGCTGCTGTATGCAACCTGCCGGTTCCATCAAAGACAGGCTTGAAGCGCTTGGAGGACATGGTAAAGATCCACCTCGGCACGAATCATCAATTGCCGTCGATAGAGAACCCCGAGCAGTACAGGACTTTGGCACCAAAAGACCCTGTGTATCGGCTCATTGACTTTCTTCTGAGCAACGACTGGACAAGTCCCTGGCTTGTATGTACTCCTCTTGACGGGATGACCAATACCACCGGGGTGTAATGGTACTGACCATGCGCTTAGTTTTGGCTGCCGGGCAAGGCGACGCTGATTGATGGAGAGACCTTCACCGAGACTGATATGAGGCGGGTTCACGTCACTGCGATGGTCATCAAAGCCGTTGGTATCGGGCTAGGCTGTTTCCTTCCCGTCTGTCTCCTGATATTTGGTAGCGGCTCGACGCAGGTCTTCAGTGGACTCTCTCTGGCTATATGTGCGGTTGCCGTAGCCGTGATGCTTTACGGTGCTGAGGGAGGAATGCTCCTGGTTCTTACTTATCTAACAATGGTTATCACCGCGGTCTTGACGAGGCAATTCGCATCCTCGTCCTAGACTGTGGATGTCGGGTGTCGGAGAAGGGGTGTTGAATCCGGCTTCGACTTAGAGGAAGGGGAGGAAGGGCGTTGGTCTTGCGGATAGACAAAGGTATCGTGGGGATAATGGTAGTCGAACCTCCTCTTCTTCGACGGCTTTGTCGCGGAGAGATTCGTAATCTGAAATAGGGGAGATTAGGTGCGAAGTTGTCAAAAGTGGCTGGTAGTTAGAAAATGAAAGATGAAAGTGCTCCGATCTTCTCCCAGTCCTGCCTCCTTACAATGCTGGATGATTTTCAAGTTAAAGTGCGGAAGAGTTCTGATAGGATGCAAAAGGAGAAGAACACGGGTGGTGTTTAGGGGAGAAGCAATCGGCAAAGGCTGAAGACCGGGACGGTTGGACGGTTGCCAGAGGGAGAGGGCTCAACATTTCTACTGAGCCTGGGGCAGGAACGCTCCACACAAACAAGGATGCTGTGTTTACTCCTGTCAAGTTTCTCATACCAACACCAGTACGAGAGTACATTGCTGTTCGATACTTGCATACAGAATGAGTGCGATATCGTTGTCTGTATTCAACAATTGAAATACTAGGTAATATCAAGGTATCCATATGTCCTGCTTTCCTTCTTGGTTGTGTCTCGAGCATGTGAGATGGTGACAGGTACTTTGGGGAGAGCACCACCCGCCATCTCTCGTGCATTCTCGAAATTGATAGGACATCAACGATCAATTGTTGATGAACATAAGAAGGGGTGGGGTTCTCTCCACCAAACTTCAAGCCAACCCCAACAGATAGCAGGCGTCTAGACCCGAGCACGGGTTGTAATACCCGCTCCCCCTTTGAGGTGAGCGCGACTAGTTCACGCTTGCAACGCGTCAGGTACTATTGAACGCGGTCGAAGACGTGAGGAGAGCGACGAGGTAATGAAACGCACAATTGTGCAGAGAGACCTCGAGAATGTCTGGTATGCCCACGAGACAATGGTCGATGGAGGTTGTTGGGTGTCCATTTTCTGTTCTTGGCTAGCAGGCAATCCTCGCTGAGAGACGAGCACTGACGATGCAAATCAGGCACACCACCACTTGCATTCGAGGCGAACTCACCCCCTGCAAGTTGCTGTGGGCCGCAATCAAACCCAGCTGTCAATCTGACCTGCTCATAAGCCTCCCTCGACTTTCTTCCATTGGGTTCTCTTCGCTCCCTTTCCCCACACTTGCTACCAAAGTCCTTGACCTCTCCTCTCTGCTGTTCGGGAGTCAATGATGAACGAGGAACCTGTTCCTACATAACCTTGCATTGGTTCATGCTCACCCTCCCAACCTTATTTTTCACATTGGATGTGCTATTCCTTCCTGTGGTTGGCACTTGCCCCGATTCGAACATTGGGAGGCTTGCTCTCGGTCAACGCTTATCGACGAACAGTTAAGAGCGGTCGCTCATGACTCTTTTCCACTCAACCACCTCCAATATCGGAATCCCCGCACAGACGCCCGCAGCTCGAACCAGAAGATTGAGATGAAGGAAGCCGTCGGGGACGGGAGAAAAGTGCGGCTCTGAAAGCGATTTTCTCCATGCAGTTGCCAATTCATGGCGGTCTTGTCCCTTGCATTGCACTTTTCGCTCCGAACCGGGTCTTTGGGCGACCGGAGGCCACGCTGACCCGCTTGAGGCGCCGGGGTCATGACCAGAGCTACGACTCTGAAAGGGAGAGGTTGGCTTTTCCCCGGCCGCAATAAAAGCCCCGCTATTCACGGCCTTTTCCACTCAGCCCTACTGGAATTTGTATTAGCGCATGGATCTGATGGAACGCTTCTGAATGGGGCCGACACGCCATTAGCTTGTCCGCTATTCCCCTATTAGACCCTTGCCAGAGTCGTCGGAGGGGGGCAACTGGTCCACGGTTCCGATTGGCACATCGGTCACCATTCATGCCAGTGGATGCGCACCAACAATGGGTCTCGACTCTCCAGCATTCCTCAGTCTTCCAGTCTGCGCGAGGATCCTTCCATGTGCCTGTCAGATCGAAGTGGTCCTATCCTAGTGTGAAGAGTAGCACTCAGGAACCAAGTCTTCGGAAACGAGTGTTCGAGTTGGCAAACTGCGACTTCCAATACTGAGGTAATTCGGTCATATTTTGCAGCTGGCAATTGGCTGGCCAAGCACTGGCCAGGCGGAGAATGGGGCCTATCAATCAACCATTGCCTCTATTAGTCTCGGGCGCAGTGGTGGAAGGTACACACATACAGATCGCTCCATGAGTGATATCTCGCGTTCTGGTGACAGAGCAACTCAGCACTGCAACTTCATGATGCTTCGAATTGTCCATTAGAGGGTCTTCCCATAGGCCAGTGCCGAGAGGACGTCCTCGCCCTCATAAAACAGGATTGAACCGCTCGGCACTGGGTCTTGGGTGTTCTGCTGTGTTGGCAGTCTCCACGATGGGACATAGGCCACATGCGGCCCCCAACACCATCCACCCAACATGCTGCACATCATTCGTGTCACGATCGGGCAGACATGAAGCCTTGGTTTATTGAGGGCGGTGAAGATATTATCGGAGTGAGGAGTACACACTCTGAGAGCCAACATTGAACTCTCCACGTAGAGGTCATCTACACCACACACGCCTCTTCATTTCATAAAAGGGGCTGGCCGGGGGTCAACCTATCGTGGCACTATTCCTTGCCCTGTTGTCGCCTGTCACATCAGCTTAAAATCCGCCGCGCAAAGTTGATCCGATGTACCATCCGTGAGACGCTCCGAGTGGCAGCACGTGCAGAAGGTACTCCGAATCGCGTGGATTCGCTATGGGCAAAGATGTATTTTAGCAACGGTTAGAAGTCTGCGAAGGCTTTCCCGACCGTACCGAGGTGCCAATTTCTCTCCCTTTCTCTATCCACGCCCTGGGTCTACGCGATTACCCGGTGAACACACTGCCACAATGGCTCTTATCCCGCATGTTAGGCAGTGACAAACCGCCAGCTAAGAGGCTATTGCTTGCATACAGGCGGACCCGCGGGGAAATGTGCGCTCCCGTACATGGTACTGATCTGGATCGAAGCAAATCATCGGACGAACCGGCATTGCGAGGGCTGAACTCGCAGGGGGCCTGGCCTCCTGCCTTTTCGTCCCGTCTTCTACGCGATTCTCCTCCGCCATTTCACGTTGTCAGATTGAATCTCCATCGTGAGGCGGAAGTTTGTAATGGTGTATAGGTCTTCGGACCAACCACTCGCCATTGACACCTCACTTATCGGTTGCTCATACCCTACACAGGCGGCGGTGAAGAAATCTGTTCTCAAGATCAAGATCTGCACAGCCTTCTCAAAGATGCCGCATCCCTTTCTTCTTCGAGTATGACGGGTCGGGCATGAATTCACAGACGTAGACACTTGGATGGCGATGCATGGAGAGCAAGTGTGTGGGTTTGCCATTGTTGGTAGTTCCGACGAGCAAGAAGGGTCAGCGACCAGGCCATGTAGGCTATACCTGTGGTATACATTGCCAAAGGAGGGTGGTGGGGTGGCTTGAGCCTAGAGGAACCGTCCAGGTTCCAACTGTAGGTCTTACGGTCTTTCCTTTCACCGCCGTTACGAGATGCGCGGGTACCTCCTTGCCTAAGCGCATGCGGCGATCCGATCCAAGCGCGCTGTACGAAGTAGGTCTGTTGTTTTCCGAGTTTCATGGGGGATGTCACGCTTGAGCTAGAAGCCAGGGGCTACAGCATGATCCGGGTGATGCGAGGGACATTGTTTGTGCGACGATGGGGTCCCATCCCTGGGGCTAGGGCCAATTATTCTCCCCACCACACGCCGAGCAAGTGCAAAACAGCCATGTGGGGGATGCGACTGCCGTGCGCTGAGGCGTTCTTGTGCAAAATGAATGGTCTTCAGCAGCGAGACGATACGCGTCGCAGTGATGGATTAATCGCAGGTCAACACAAGCCAACACTAGTGACGCGGAGCTGCTCTTGAAAAGCCGACGCTGCCTTGGTGGAAAAATAGAAAAAGAAGGGCAAAAGGAAACGGATAGGAAATGTGTCTTAACTTCTCCTAGGTTTGTTGAAGAAGTGGATAGGGTTCTTTTAAAGGAAACCCGATTCCATCCGACCCTGCTGACCATACCCAACAAAGCAAGCCCGCGATTGCCGAGTTCTCCTCCCCGAACGGACTAGGAAGTGTTCGAACATCGACACCACCATCTCTCGAGAACCTCGCGAGGACACAACCGAGGCCGAAGAGAGCTTGTCTGAATCACACTCGACTCAAGGGGACTCTAAAAGAAAACTTTATCAATACAGTTAATTCGGGTATCACAGTGCTCAATGGTTTCAACAACCATGTGCTCTTATAGAAGGTAAACCTGTGATCATTCTCACGGAAGCGGCAATGGAAAAGATGTGATGTTGTGAGTGGAAGGAACGAACTACACTACTGCACAAGAAGCAAGGAAAAGAATCTCCTCTTCGCCTTGGTGCAACCCCGCTTCCTGCGCTAGATTTTGCCCCAACGCATTAGTCGATATCGTACCCGACCTGAGAAACTCTTTTTTCGTACTTGGCCCAATTTTTACGAGTCAATTCGTCCAATTATAACTACGGCCCTGTGAATACCCTCTCTTCTGGAACTATATCCCTAGTTGGGTTGATGTTGGAGGCTCGAACAATGGTTGTAAGTTCACCTACACCCACGCCCTCGAGTCTTACGGACCAGACTTGACTTCTCTCGAGCTGGGAATATAAGCACTCACGCGTGGTAGAAACTGTATCCTCAGATCGTGTTCTTCGGCGACTCGCTTGTGCAGGGCGCCGCCGAAGTACAAGATGGTTTCTCATTTCAGGGGGAGCTGCAACATCGTAAGTCCCAGCCCTTTCACACCCAGGAAGCGGAAAACTCCAGTATAACTACGGCTGCTTACTATAGCTGCCTCTAGGAGTTATCCGCCGGTATGATGTCGTCAATCGAGGATTTTCAGGGTATAACACCGCCAACGCTGTCAAACTCCTCCCTGAGATCTTTGCGCCTGCTTCAGACAACACCGCACGAATAGAATACTTTGTACGTCCCCCGCATCGTACTGAGCGACAATGCTTCGCTGATCGCAGGGAGGGTTGATATCGTGCATACGGACTAACATGGGTTTCTCTTCTCCCCACAGTTCGTGCTCCTTGGAGCCAACGATGCTGTCATCCCCCTGCCCTCAACGACCCAGGGCGTTCCAATCGACAAATTCAAAGAGAATCTTAGGCAGATCGTAACGCACCCCATCATTACGAGCCACAACCCTAAGATCTTCATCGTGGCGCCTCCTCCTCTCGACGAGATTCATGCCTCGCAGCAGGACATCAGCAACGGCCATCCACAGGGGACACGGACGGCCAAGATCAGCGCCCAGTACTCGGAAACCGCCCGAGAGGTGGCCCGCGAGGTTGGCGTAGAGATTGTGGACCTCTACAAGGCCATCATGGACAAGGCGATCGAGCTGACTCCCGGATTTGACGGCGGCGCAGGAAAAGTGCTGGGAACGCCGGAGTGTGGCAAGCAAGGGGGGCTGGAGAAGCTTTTGCGGGATGGATTACACATGAGCGGAGATGCTTACAGAGTATTTTATGAGATTGTGAAGCCGAAGGTTGAGGGAGACTGGGCGAAGGCACCGGAGCAGGAGAGGGCTGGGTATGTGCATCCGGACTGGAAGTTGATCAATCCACCCGAGTGAGAGACATCCTGGTTTCGCAGTGGACACTCCAGATGGTGGTTGGGGCGCTTCACTAGAGATCTGAGATTATCCGATACAATTGATAAGTGGAGTCTAAATGGACTTGCCAATTACGCTTCTCGAATGCAGATCCGGTAGACTTAACCCCTGAAGTCTGAAGATATGAACTGATGGAGCTCTTTCCGGTGCCTGAAGCTAATTTCCCCAACCCCACGTTCCCACATTTCGAAATGTGGGAGTCGAGATTCTTCCATACAAAGTAAAACGTTGATTCGCAAGTCGCAAGTCGCACGTCAAGATGGCTGAATCAGCAATTCCATCCAGCCACAGTGCAAAAGCCGGGCTTCGCAGCACAATGTACTCCGTACACCTCGCAAGGTGCTCCGCTCCGACAAGATTGGCTGGCTCAACCAGGCTGGAACTGTGCAGCGTGCCTGCCAAATTAACCAGGTTCCAAAGCCTTCCTTGGAAGTATCTTTGATTGCTCTCCCCCCCTTCGGCCAGCTAATGTTTGTACTTCGTCCGAAGTACGAAGTACAGAGTCTCGACGTTTCAATTTTCAACTTCGCATTCCTCATTCCTCAGGCCGTTACTTCGAATATCCATCATCCTCAACATCTCAACCTTGGCTCTTGGCTACAAATAGAAACAAAATAACATCCTCTCCTTCGACCTCGATCTGTTCAACGACTCCTTGCGTCCTCTGACCGCCCCCACAAACTCAATATCACCACAACCCGCGATCGCCCACCTCCGAACTTGTCAACAATCTCTCCCCCTTTCGACCACGCTCTTCCCACACGCAGCTTGCGCCCCCCGCGACCTCCCGGCCGACTCGACCCTTCCTGCCGAGTTTACGATTTGTATGCCTGATTAGGCACGACGCCCGCCTTGCTCATTACGAAATCAAACTTTGTGGCAACGACTCATCGGCCAAGCCTCCCGCGACAAACTTCGCAAGCTTTACTTGCGTGCCCTGCCTATTTTCTAGCTGCGTCGATTATTCGAATCCAGAGACTCTGAAGAGAGCCCCGAAATTATCGGATTTCGTCGACAACACTTTTGGTGCCGGTTAATAAGCTCCATCTTTAGCTGCAACATCCTTAGAGATATCCTTCAGCTCGAGCCATCTGCCACCTGCAGCAGCCTTGTTGTGTCACCGACGCTATCCTACCCACTGTCGTGACTTTTAACCCGCCGACTCCTATTCTTGGCGATTTTCTAGGGACGAAGAAATTAATTTGCCGATAATCGCTGTCTGCCGTTATCTCCCCAAGAACAACGAGAGAAGGAAGGACATCGCCGTCAAAGACCTCGAGGTCTTTTTCGTGCGATGTGGTGGACGAGGGGGTCCTCGTAAACAACGATATTCTTGGATCCCAGAGCTATCCTATTCACGCGAAAACCCCACCGAGTGGCCGAACGAGGACCGTACGACTTTCCTCGAACACACCGCGAGCCGTTCACCAACGCTCTGTAGATGGAATCTGCCCAAGCTCAACTGAAGCCAGTTCTCTAGTGAAGTGCGTCAAGCTGGCCTGAAGCCCCGCCATTCGCCACGCGTCCGTTTGTTCTCCCTCGGTAACACAAATTCGATTTGCGTTCCAGGAGTCTCACCCTGCCGGGCAACGCGCCAACCGATTCTGAGACACTCTACACTTCATTGACCAAGAGATCGTTCCATTCCTGCGCCCAGCCTTCGCCGTTACCCAGGCCGCCCCTGTCCGTGTCTGTGACGAGATTTCCTTCTTCGTTGACGGCATGGATCAACGGTTTGCGGTGACCCGTGACGAAATCAACGGCATTCAAATGGACTTGAAGCACCTGCAACATACCCAAGCCAACCACGCAGAGAGACTCTTCCGTCTGGAGCGCCGTCAAGCTGATGATGCTGCCATCAAGGCTGCCTGGTCGCCATTCCCAGGCGTCTTAGCTACTACCCCTCAACATGGTATGGTTTGCCTTTTTCTTTTCTTTTCTTTTTTCGCACCGGGGTTTCAGGCCTTGTTCTGTTCTTCATCTGTATAGCATGGCAACTAACATCTGACGTTGTGTGATTTTTCTCTAGGCCCCGTTTCCATGCCTCCCAACGATGATGACCTAGATGACTTCGACAGCCATCTGATGGGCTCGCTTCACCTGCCACCTGCCGATGAGGAACCAGTCCGACGCGGAGCTGCTTCGCGTGCCAATAGTGTTCGGTTTGACGAGAGTGCTTTGCACGGGTCCAGCTGGGGTGGCGGCGGCGTGCAGAACAGCCGGCATTCGGGAGAGTTTGTCCGTCCCGGCAGCGGCCTCTTGATGGAGCGCTCATTCTCGCACAAGTCGGATGGCAGACACAGTTCGGCGGGTCATAGCGTTCACTCGTTGCACTCTGCGCCTTCTGTAGGACGAGCTAGTAGTGTTGGCGGAGACGCCGAGTCGCCTCTGAGCATACCCGAGCCGCTCCCTGCGCTTTTCTCCCTTAGTTCGGTCCCTTCGATTATCCGTTGCTGGCTGACGACCCAGTTTGCCCACGACATGCTACTCTACGCCGACGTCTGCACGGGCTCGCGTAGGTCGACGGTCGAGTACTCGCTGGTCAAAAGCCTCGGGCTTTTGGAGGACGCCGAGATGGGATTCGATGGCATCACTCGTGTCACGCTACCGGTATATCTCGCCGAAGCCATTGTATCTCAACAAGCCAGTCGCTCGCAGAGTCCGTCGCACGAGATCCATATCCCCAGCATGACGGTGACGTTTGACATCATGGGAAGGGGGGACCAGCCCGACGGCGGCAGCGGCGCAGACCCAAAGAAGGGCATCCGCATCTTCATTGGCAGCGATGCCCTGCGAGCGCATTCGGCGGACGTGCTTCTTTCTCGGAATCAGATTGTTCTTTACGGGAACGATAGGAGCAGGCTGACGGTGCCGTTTGTGCGACCGGAGGACGAGAACGTGTTTAAGAATATTTGCACGATTAACGTGCTTCCTGAGAAGCTGAGACTCAATGCGGCAGCAGCGCCGTTTGTTTCCGGCGATCAGAAGACGGTGTCTCGCGATGAAGAAGCGGGGAATTCCACCACCACTAGGGATGGGAGCGTCGTGTCGGAGTTGCGGAAGGACATGGATGCCTCCTCAAGCCATCATGCGATTTCGCCGACTACTGACGCGCCCGCTCGTGCGATTTCGAACAATAAGCTTGCATCAGGGTCCCATCGAGGAAGCGAGGTAGATGACAACGATACCCGAGAGAAGGATACGACGACGACGAATAAGAAGCTCGACGGTACAGATACGAGCGGCCGAGAAGACGTGGCTTCCACGCACATGTCGACGAGCAACGGAGCGGACGGGCAATCGACCGAGTCTTCTCGTCGCGACACGGCATCGGGAATCTGGGGTTCATGGCGACAGGGAACGGCCAACGGGAACGAGGCTGGGCAGCGCGAAAGCGGGCCTTTGAGCGGATACCAGCCAGCAGGCACCCGCGGCCGGAACATGAAGGTACTGAAGCCTCTCAAGTCGAGCTCGTCGGCGCGCACGGGGGCTTCTTACGAACCCCCGCCGCCATCGCGAAACGGTGGAGAAACGCGACGCAAGAGTCAGGGGGCAGCGGGAGGAGCAGCAGGCGAGACTAGCACTAGCTCGAGCTCTGGTGGTGGCACGCTTCGTTGGGACACGAAGCGCACGGCCAGCGTCGCGAGTCTTGCGAGTCTCGGCGAAGCTAGGTCACCGGTGACGCAGCAGCCGCCGACGGGGACGGGGCATACGCCGACGCTGCCATCACGAGAGGCGCGGGGATCGCAGAGTCTGCCGAGATCGGCTAACCCGATAGGAGGGGCGTCGGCGTTCTCGTGGATGAAGAAGGCGGGACCGTCGGGCGAGTAGGCATGTCGGAGGTACTGAGCCCCTGTCCGGTTTTTGTTATTGTTTTGCAGATCTTCGATGGGGCTCGCCCGGACTTTTAAAGCCTGCTTCGTTGCTTCTACCGCATGCTTGTCGTCTCTCCCTAGTTTCGCGTGGTCTTTGATATTTGTTTTGCTCCCACCCCTACACTGCCTGGAGTGCACTATTAGAGCCGGTTCTCCTTCCCTGGAATTGGGACGGCGTGGCCTACTTCTGATGAGGCTAGTGCTTGACGCGGGTGGGTTAGTTCGACGTTGGAAACACTACGCAGGACATGGATGGGAAGGGTACAACTTGGCTTGAAGTATTTTTTTTTGAGTCCGGGTGCTAGGAAAGAAAGAGAGAGAGAGAGAGCACTTGACTCTCCTCGTACTGGGATACTACAAGACGGGTCTTCGGTCCCGCCAGAAGAAGAAATGAAAAACTAGAGCTATTACGCTAGTCGTCGCGAATAGACCTAACAAATCTTGATATCTTTTATTTTATTTGTACCGTTGCTGGGTTCGTAAGAGGGGCAAGGAGAGAGATATCACCGTCCGACATACACACGTTAAGTAAAAAGAACGGGTGCGACATGACTGCATGACTGTAGCATTAACAGTAGACCGAGAAGGTTCGAACCTCGGAGTAAAAATGTACAATTGGACATTGAGCAAGGATTCTCACCTTTGCTCAAGTATTTCCCTTTCTCTTGCGAGGGGGAAGAAATCATACAACAGGGGAAAAAAGCAACACGCAGGATACCCATGATCTAGCAGAGCTAAAAGAGTCTATCACACCCGCCCTCTCCGCTCTTCACTCTCCAACCCAGAGCACACCTCCCCCTAAATCCTCGGCGTCAAAGCCTTCAGCGCAACCTTGGTATCCGCCGCCGTCTCCTTAACAACCTTGATAACCTCCCTAAACTCAGGCACGGCGGCATCGCCCATAACCTCATAAACCCAGCCCTCGGTGGTCGTGACGACGGCGCCCGCAGCGGCCAACCTCCTCAGCGCGACGGGGACCTCCTCGGGATTCGCGGAGCTCACGGCATCGGCCAGGATGTAGACGTTGTGGCCGGCCTTGAGGAGGTCGAGGGCGGTCTGGGTGACGCAGACGTGGGACTCGATGCCGATGATGGCGACGGAGGAGTTGGGCTCGAGGGAGGTGGCGACCTGGGGGATGAGCATGGAGAAGCGGGTCTTGTCGTGGTGGGGGTTGGGGCCGAGGTGGGGTTGGAGCTCGGGGACGATGGGGCCGAGGCGGGTGGCGTTTTGGGTTGTTGTGTGGATGGGGATGGAGAGGACTTTGGCGAGTTTGAGGAGTTTTTGGGAGGAGAGGATGCTGGAGATTGGGGGTTAGTAGAGATAGAGAGTGAGTTGGGGGGATGAAAGGGGGGAGGGGAGGGGACGGACACTTTGTCGAATTCGTGGATGGTCTTGCGGAATACTTCTTGGATGTCGCAGACGCTTTTTCCCGGAAGATACGTTAGTTATGCGGAGATGACTATGATGTTTCGTTGTGGTCTTACAAGACGACGGGTCGCTCTGGAAGAAGAAGTGTTAGTTAGAGGCCTTGGAAAGGGGAAAGATAGGGTGTAGGAGGAGTGAGATACCGATGCGATGGGCGACAGTGGGCTTAGACATGGTGGATGAGAGTCGAGCTGTTGGGAGAATCCGAACGTATCGTGGTGCGGATCGCGGTGGTGTCCTGGTTGCGACGAAGGCGTTGGGGAGGAATCGGCGAGTTGGGAGCGAGGCGCGGAAGACGTTCATAGGCTTCTTGCTTTAACGCAAAGCTGGCGAGCTCGGAAACGAACCTGTGGAAGGAGACGCAGAAAGCTGGAAAATTTCGAGCCGAAAAGGAGCAAAGATAAAAAAAAAAGAGAAGGCCGAGTTGAAGCTGGATAAGGGAGCACAGGGGTGACGTTGAGCTCTTATTGCTCTTGGTTGAGCGGGCGGGGGGGAATTTGGCGGAATTGGCTGACGCGGGGTTTCTTTGGGGACAGGAACTTTGAACTTTTAGACGTTTTTTTTTTAGTGCCGAATGATCTGGCGTGGTTCTTGACTCCGTATGCGGAGGTGGGGTACTGTAATACGGTAATATCAAATACTGGACGTTTTAGTGGAAGAACGTTCGGTTGGAGCACGAAGTAGCAGTACTATACTAGACGCACACCAGCTTAGTGCTTCGTACTTCGTATGAGCTCCGAGCTGGAAGATCTATTCGATGTACTTCCAACTGCGAAAGTAGTCCACCTAGATTACATACATTCTCTTGATTTTATTGATCAATTGGATTCTTCATTGGATATTGCGATTGGCTGAGATGCATAGTGATGATCACTAGGAGTGTGTGTAGTACTATTAAATAATTGTAGAAGGAGCCATTGTTGTATTGACTAGATAGGAAGGAATTGGCCCTTCGCTGCCTTCCGTTTTATGTTGGAAAGAGTGGGCCAATTCCATGGAAATTATCCTAGTAATTTCTTCCTTGCCGAAACAGTTCCTACGTCACAAACCCTAGCCGAAACCAGTTCCCATTTCCAAAACGTTTTCCTTTCTATGGTGTGACCTTGGTGCGACTTCGGAAGACCCTCTGCCGTCTAAAAAGGCCTGTTTTACAGTGGCATTTTGGGAATTCCGTGACATCCGACGGTATTGGATTGTCCGATCAGGTCCGAGCTAAGTTTTGTTTCCATATCCCTGCAAATATTCCAACAGTACATGGTTCGCAATTGTCGATTAAATCCACCCACTGTAGCTGGTGGAGGGTCACTCTAAACTACGTGTACAACACCGCTGAGTTCTTAGCGTACACTGCGCTCCACCCCACTAATCCTTGCGGGGGCGTAGTGGGGGAATGGCGCTGCGGGGCAGAGAGAAACCCTGGGGAACTTGGACACGATAGTGGCCTTTTATGGGGTCATAGGGCGCACGGCGGCATCGATTGATCTCCGATGGGACGAGAAGCCCCAGAATTAGCTGCGGATGTACCTCGGCACCTCGGTATCTATACTTGGACGGAGCAAGACGTTGGCTGCCGGGAAAAGTAGACGACGAGAGTTACGGAGAGTTTGCGGAGAGTTGCGGAGACTTACCGAGTACATTAGTGTTGCGCATTCACTACCCACTCACCTGGGATCATTTATTTGGAATAGATGGGGGATCTCTATCCACTTCTAGCTTGGGCTCGGCGGAGCTGGGGCTGCAGAGAAGTGTGATCGGCTTGCATGCAATCGAACGACTCTGCAGGTTCTCTTTCTTCTGTTGTTTTTTTTTCTTTCCCCAGGTTAGAGGATCTAGAACAGGAGGTCTAGATGGATCAGATGGATAATGTCGACTCAACCACTCCATGTGTGAGCCCAGCTCCTACACTCCTATCCTCTCAGTAAGAGGGTTGGGAGGGAAACGATATAGTAGAATACCCAGCGTCATAGACCCTCAGACCTCCTCAAGCTTAGAGAACTACTGCTGCTACTGCTCGAAAAGACGCCTGCCTCCATTCACATTTCTCAATGCACCTGTAAATATAGTAGAAATACTAGAAATGCTCTCCAAGAACATCAACCCTTGGACACCTGCAGCCAGCTTACCCACACCCCAACCCTGAGCTCTCGGCCCCCAACCCCTACTCTCTTCCGAGCACATCCATCACAACTTCTCGACCTTAGTCCTCTTCAACCACTCCAAATCCCCCGCAACAGTCTCCTTTCGTACCCTAAACAACTCATCAAGAAAAGCCGGCACGAACCCCCCCGGGCCAACAACCCCCTCCCTCTCCGCCGCCCTCTCCCCAGCAATCCCGAAAACCACCAAAGCCGCCACCACGGCGACCAACCTATCCCCGCCGTACGCAGCCGCAAACGCCGAGATGGTCGTCCCGAGAACGCACCCCGTCCCCGTCACCCTGCCCAGCATCTCGTGGCCGTTGGAGACGGCGAAGGTCCTCGTGCCGTCGGAAACTACGTCCGTTTTGCCGGTGCAGACGACGATGTTGCGCTCGCGGCGCGCTAGCGTCGATACGAGGGTTGCTTTTTCGGCGACGGAGAGCTTGTGCGAGGAGTCTACGCCGCGCTGCTGCTGCTGCTGTTGTGGGGAGTCGGGGGCCGTGAGGGAGGCGACGGTGAGGATTTCGCCTTCGTTGCCCTTGATGATGTCGAGGTAGCCTAATCCCATGATGGTTTTGACGGCGTTGCGGCGGACCGCGGTGGCTCCGGCGCTGGCTTTCCGTCAGCTTTTTGGACTTGTGTCTCTTCTCTTTTTTTTTTTTCTTTTTTTTTTTTTTTTTTTTTTTTTTTTTTTTTGCGATTTCTGTGGAGGAAAACTCACCCAACGGGATCGTAGACGACCGGTCCTCCCGCAAGATTATACGCCCTCAAGGCCTTTTCGTAGTTCACCAACGCCTCGGGGGTAACAGTCCCCATATTGACGACGAGTGCGCCTCCTAACTTGGCAAGGTCCGCCGCTTCCTCGCCATAATTGGCCATGATGGGCGAGGCACCCACGGCAAGCGCAACGTTGGCCGCAAAGTTTTGCACAACCTACCCCAGTTGTCGTTGTTAGTATCTCTCTCTGGGACACAGGGCGACATCTACGCACCAAATTCGTCATATTATGCGACAAAGGATTCCCGCCATCAACAGCCCCAACAACCTCCCCCACCAAGTCAAGCACCACCCGAACACTTTCCACCCTCTCACCAGCACCCGCGCTCCTCGTCACGAACGCCGGCGGCGTCCTCACTAGCTCGAGGAGCCTGCGAGATTCCGCTTCGGGGTCAGCAGCCGCCACGATGGCGCTGACGAGGGCCACGCCGTCGGGAGCCTTGCCGTCCGTGGCGGATTGGTAGAGCACACGCTGGATGTTATGGGGGTGGAGGCCGCCTATGCAGACGGTCGGGGTGGTGGGATGGGTCTGCGCGAGGGAGGAGAGGATGGTGCGGAGGCCTGCGGTGCCGATGATGTTTTTGGTGTTGGATTTGCTGGGGGGGATGTCAGCAAGTTTGTTCTTTTTTTTCGTGGTCTGTGGGGATGGGGGAGGGGAAATAGAGTACGTGGAGGTTGAGAAGATGGTACCGATGCCTAGGTAGTCTGCGCCTTCATCGCAGGCTTTTTGGGCTTCTTGGGTGGTGGAGGCAGAGACGCCTATGATTTTGTCGTCGCCGAGGAGTTTCCTGGCTGTAGGTAGATCTATCATCATACATTAGCAAATTCATTATCACTCTCTCATGACCTACGTATATTCAGCACCGAATCATTCTCCAGTGATCCCGGCAGATGGAGATTCTCAAAAAAACTCACCCATATCATCCTGTCCAATGTGAACCCCCTCACACCCAACAGCCAACGCAACATCCACGCGATCGTTGATCAGCAACGGCACGCCATACTTTTTCGTCACAACGTGCAGCTCCCTCGCCGTGTCGACAAGAACGCGCGTGTCGCTCGTCTTGTCGCGGTACTGCACGAGCGTGACGCCGCCCTTGAGAGCGGCCTCGACGACGGAGACGAGGTTCCGCTCGCCGAGGATGGCGGGGGTTGAGTCTGTGACGAGGTAGAGGGAGTAGTCGACCGTGGGCTTTCCCATTTTTAAATTCTCTTCCTTTCTTACTGTGCAGTTTGTAATTGACTGAATCCGGGAAGAGTGCGTTGAAATTGAGATGAGGGTGGGAGTAAAGTGTGGAGGGGGATGAATGAGTCTTTGAGGTCTTTAGGGTGATGTTGAAAATTACGAAATTTTTGGCGGGGGCGGGGCGGAGATGAAATGAGAGTATCGGACCAAGACCGGCGGTGATGCGGGGCCGAAGGTGTCGTGGTGGTCGCCGATGCAGCGTTCCGGAGGCCGACGCAGATCGTTTCTCAAGAGCGCACACAAGATATGAGATTTTTCTTTTTGATGGATGCAAGAACAATCATCTCCGAAGTCAGGGGTTTTAAAATCACCATTGAAACTAAAGTACAATCTCTCCTTGCCAAGCAAAGCACGCCATCGTCATTTCATTCTCTTAAGGCGATCGACTCATGCGGAAAAATAGCATATAGATAGAGAGACGTACGTCGTATAGGTTACGAGAAGAAAAGCTCACAGCCCCGAAAAGAAATAAAATAAAATAAAATAAAAAGATAATCTCCCCAACCCGCCCCCATTTATCTTCATTCCCTCCTAATCATCTCACGGCTCCGCAGGTGTAGAAGGCGTAGCAGATTCGGCAGGCTCGGCAGGTGCAGAAGGCGTAGCAGATTCGGCAGGCTCGGCAGGATCAGCAGGTGTAGCCGGTTCCGCAGGCACCTCAGCAGCCGGAGCCTCAGCCTCAGCCTCCGCCGCTGCAATATGGATCGTCGTAATCGAACTCTGCCCAACAGCAGCAGTAACAGCCCCATCCGCAACCGTAACCTCCACCTCCGCGCACTTCCTCTCATTATCCGAAGCCCAAGCCGTAGCCTTCCCCGTCGGCGCGCCGTCTCCACTAACTTTGACCGTGATGTCGCCCGCGCCGCCCTGGCTGATGAGCACGACGGCCACAGAGCCGTCCTCGTTCTTGAAGGCCGCCACGCGCACGCCGGAGCCGCCCGATGTGCCGACGCGGACGGCGTTGGGGCGGACGAAGCGGGACCAGTTGGCGAAGGCCCAGAGGCGGGTTGCTACTTCGTAGTTGCCTGTTTGCTGGTCCACGCGGATGATTTTTTCCTGTCGTCGATTTTCATAGTTAGCAATTTCTCGTCTACCGACTCACCGTAGGGGAACAGAGAACAGAGACCGGAGAGAGAACTCACATTCGTGTTCGGATTCGGCCACTGAACCCCCTCCCAATAAAGATACCCTCCAGCATTGTGATTCATAATAGCATCCATAATATTATTCGCCCACGTCAACCCAGCCCCGGCCCCTCCCCCGGTCCAGGCCGTAGACCACTGCCCGTTCAAATCGCACTGCTCCGAGAACCACACGGGAGCCACCGTGTTGATCTGCCCGTTCGCCGCGCTGAGGTACGTGTGCGTCGTCACCGCCTTGAGGCTCGACTCTTGTCCCGCGCCCTTGATGGCGTTGACCATGGCCCCGGCTTGGCTGAAGCCGCCGGTTTCGCAGCAGGCGATGCCGACTTGCGAGGCGAGGCCTTCGCGCTCGATTGTGGGCTGGAGGACTTTGATGAATTCGGCGGCTTGGTTGCCGTTCCAGAGGGCTGAGGCGTAGGAGGCGCTGGTGCGTGTTAGCTGGAATAGGATTCTGGGATGGAGAGAAAAAGGGGGAAGGGGGTTGAAACGTACGAAAAGTCAGGCTCGTTCATGGGACCGAGATGCGTAATGTTCACTCCTGCTTCGGCGTAGAACTTGACGTATTGGACGAGGTAGTTGGCAAAGGCCTGGTACCACTCCGTCTTGAGGTTTCCACCGTTGTTTTCGTTATTGTTGGTCTGTCCCAGTGGTTCACATTAGTCTGTATGCGCCAAAATTGAGAAGGAAACCCAGAAACCCCCGTCCCAATAATAGGACTAAAAAAAAAAGGTAAAAGTCCAAGTCCAAAACGAAAGCAAGAGAGATCCTCACCTTCATGTAAAACGGCGGGCTCCACGCGTTCCCATAAACATACTTCAACCCATACTTCTCAACCGCCGTCTTCGCAACCCAAAGCTGCCCACTATCCTTCCCGTCCCACTTATACGTCGGCTCCGCCGTCGGACTCCCCGGATTATCCGGCGCAAAAGTATTCATCCAATCGCTCTCGCTCGAGAGCGAACTCCCGATACCGTTCCGGAGGATCGAAAACCCGGCGCCCTTCTCGGTGCTGAAGAGCAGGTCCATGAGCTCGTCGCGGTTCTTCTCGCTCGGGTTGTTGGTGATGAGGTTGGCGCGCTGGAAGGCCAGGGAGAAGCCGAACCCGTCCATCTTTTGGTAGGTCTTGGTTAGGTCGACGGTGATTTCGCCGCTGACGGCTCCAGCACCGCCGCCGCCGAAGCCGGGGAAGCCGCCGAATTGGCGCTTGGCCCATTGGAGGGGCGTGGAGGTTGCGGGGTGGGCGGCGGCGAGGACCGCGAGGGATATGTCTGTGAATCTCATTGTGGGTTCCGGTCGAGGATTGGCTTTGGATGGAAAGAATGGAGGGGGTAAGGAATGGAAGCTGCTCACAATCACGATTGACGAACGTGTGAGTGCAAGAACAGGGTAGGGGAGGTCAAGATTGCTTCATGGAGGGATTGATTCGTTTTCACAAGTTACTTATATATCGGGAATAAGATGCCCAGTCCTCCTCTCTAAATTGGAGAAAGTAATAATATATAGACTTAAACAAAGCCCGGATATATATACGGGCTATGGTGTAAGTACTGCTCGCGGGAATATAAACACCACACACCCTCATCTCCCCAAAGGAGTGACCGGCTAGGAAACACACCAAGACGTGGCACGCGCAGAGGCTCAATGGAAGAAATCCAGAAGAAAAAAAAAAAAAGTCAAATCAGGAACTAGACTGCCCGACTGCAGAGAGCAGGATCCCCGTTAATGGCCGCTGCCGCTCGACGAAACCGTCCGGCGATGGACTCCCAAATTCAGAATTGGCGGCTGAAAGATAGCCAGAACCGCCCAGATAGACATTGGACCAGAGAGTAAAGAAATCTGTATTCTTCCTCCCATATTGCCAGAATAGCGATACGTAGATGCGGAGGTTGAGCCGTCTCATCTGCGCCAGAAACCATCATGACCTATACGGGAAAGCAGGCCATCAGCCGACTGGTCTTGGGGGCACACACACCCAAGATCAGATGGAGGAGATGGCACTATCCATTCACCGGCCTTGTCCATTTCCCCTCAAACAAAAATGGGGTCGGTCAATATCCGCGTCCTAAGAAATCTCCCGTATCGTCATCGGGCGAGCGCAGCGCAAATGCTTTAGGTCCCTTAACCCTTTTTAATAATATTAGGACGTATTAACGGTATTCGAGAACGAAGCGGTCGAACACCCATTGTATAGACTGCGAGCGATGATCCTCGAGGTAGCAGAGTTTCGTCCTCAGTCGGGAGATCAATTGATTAGAGTGGTGCATTCTATTTGCCTTCTTCTCCCTATTCTCATCTCCCATGGTGTATAAAGAAACCGATCCGACTGCTGATGTACACGTCGATCCACGTAGATCGATCGTCTTCTCGTTCTTGCCCGGAAGATCATCATATCTGCTGGGTGGCCTACCTCCCACTCCTAAGATTAGCTCCCCCGATTGATCTCAGAACATATGAGTCGAGAAATCTTTAGAGATCGTGGCTCTCCAGATTTTGGATGTGGGGTAAAATTCATCCTATCCTTTCGGAGGAAAGGGTGCATGTCTCTGCAGAAGGGAAATATGGCCCTCCTCATCTGTGCAGTTCCCAGCTGCGGATAAATAGGAAGCAGTTGAGGAGTTTGGATATAAACGGACCCTATCCAGGTCCGGCAATGCCCATATTAAGCTCATCCACCCCTTCTGTTAGATTAATTAAGACTCCGGTTCCAGTCTGTAATAACTCTCCTCTTCACCGACGCATTTATCCAGTTGGCGAACAAAGAAAGAAAATTCTCCGCTCCTCCTTTCCAACCCAGAGCCCGTATTAAGAACTTCGTCCTCCTCCCACCACGGCTGTACCTGAAGGGAACACCAGCCTTCCCGGCGGAAGGGAGAGAGGGCGAGAGTTAATGTCTTCCATCCATCAATGTGGATTTTGGAATTTTAAGCGGTACGCGGGCTTGGCCTTCTCGCCGCCTCGTTTTAGCATATTTCTCCATCCCTCTGTACCTTGCGGGAACCAGGGAATTAAGACTCGATATATTTTGCCTGAAAACCAGTAGCCGGGTTCGTGTCTTGGCGCTGTCGATGTTCCCGCTTTCTGAAGCTGAGGTGGATGTTGCTGCGAGACGTCTTTCCAATTTGCCTTCCGCGTGACCGAATTGGAATATCGATGCAAGTGCAGGCAAGCAAGCACCCAAGGCGCTTGCCCTCGATTGTGCTGTGGTCTGTAGTGTGTAGAAATCCGCCCGACGTGCTTGAAATGCCCCATCCGCTAGTAGAGCCCTGGGCGAATGAAAAAGGCCACGATAATCTAGTCGATGCATTGTTAATAGGCAACGACCTCGGACTGTTCCTCCTGCGTATAGCTTGATAGCGGGAGAAACGTCAAACGTCAAGCGTCAAGCGTCAAGCGTCAAGCGGACCTCAAGGAGACCCTCAGGACAGATCGTAGCTCATCGTAATCAAAAACCATCATGGCTCTCCGCTCACTGCCCGGCAGCTCCCCAATCCCACGCCAACATATCAACATCATACGCCATCAAATCAATCTGCGTAAGATTAAAATCATCCAACCCCGCCATATCAACCCCCATATCCATATCAACATCCATAACCATCGGCCCCGCCACAAGAGGCCTCTGCTCCGCATACATTTGCGCTGCCGTCTTTGGGCCGCCCCCCTCCGCCACTCTCTCCGCCTCCGCCGCCGGCGCGTTATTCTTCGCCAACTCCTTAAACAACATGCCCTTGTATTGGCGTAGCGAACAATGCAGCTTCTCGAAAGGGTCGACGAGCTTCGGGATGAGACCCCGCGAGCGCATCTCCATGTGCCATTTACTCTGGCTCCTGCGTTCGATGAGCTGCTCTATCTCGCTCGACACGCAGTCGACGAAGTGGCTCGGCCGCAGCTTCTCGAGCACGACGTTCGTGTGCCAACCGGGGGCGCGGAGGATGACGAGTCGTAGAGTCACCTGCGCCGCGTAGACGAAGTCTGAGGCGTTGAGGGCGATGAAGCGCGGGCGCGTGATATCGCAGGGGGGAGCGAACCTGCAATCGAAGAATTCGCGGACGGAGTTTGCGCAGCGCCAGAGGAGTTCCAGACGCTCCGTGTTCGTGACGAGGAAAGACGGGGAGGGCGGTTTCGTGAGCCGTGGGTCGGCGATGGCGACTTCGTAGAGGAGGACCTGGGCTATGGCGGTGCGGCAGACGAGGGAGGGGTGGTCTTGCAGGTAGGCGGGGAGGCTGGCTTTGAAGGCGTCGAGCTGCTCTTGGAAGGATTGGACGGCCATGAAGAGGGGGAGGTGCATGGAGGGGAGAGAGGAGCATTTGGTGTTGGTGCCGACGGTGAAGGCGATGGTTTGGGAGAGTTTCTGGATGCGGACGAGGTAGACGAGGAGTTCGTCGTTGGGGTATTCTTTCTTTTCGGAGAGGATGGTGCAGCAGGTGTCGAGGTATGTGGTGTTCATGAGGGCGTCGGGAAGCTTTTCTGTTGTGAAGATGCTGTTGGTTGTTAGCGAGGCGCACCGCGTCGGCGATGAGGGAGCCTTGGAGCCTACAGAGTGTTGAGGTAATAACATCCCGCCAAGGCCCTCATCCTTTCAAGAGCAGCAGAATCATGCACACCCCCGGTATCCTTGACAAGCCTCAGCCCGATACACAACGACCTACACAGAAACAGCATATTCGTCAACTGGAACCCATTAATCGAGTAATGCATCCTATCCACGGTCAGCAAAACTACTCCGAAACCATGAGTTCACAGGTAGGGAAGAGCTTCAACTCACCAGGCAATCAAAAGCTGCAAACTCAACAAAACATCCAAACTCTTCTCTGACTGGATATACGCCGCCCGACTGATATCCCCCAACAACTCCGTCGCCATGGTAATCTGCCCCGTGCCATCCAGCATCCTCTGAATCATCATCACGGCCTTCCACATGAACGGCCTCTGCACCCTCAGCTCCTCCTCGCTCACCTGCGGCGGGATGACTACGAACGGAAAGAGATGCGCCCTGGCCTCCTGGTACTCTTCCAGCATCGCCTTGGCCTCTTGGGGATTCGGCCATAGCGTCAGGGGTGGTGCGGGCGCTGATTCGCGCGTGGTGCTGCTCTCCCCGCCCGCCGTGGAGGAAGGGGAGGAGTCTTCGGTCAAGGTGCTTGGCGTGGCCGGCCCGCCTTGTTGCAGGGGACATTGCGGAAGGGCAGGACGAGGATGGGCCGGCTCCTCGGGTTTCTCGAACCCGGGGAAGAGGTGCGCGTAGGGATACGGATACGGATGGTAGGTGAAGCATCCGCGCATGCCGGCTGATTCGCCGGGTGTTACGTGCGGGTTGGCGTTGAGCTGCGACGTGAGCTGGTCGAGTCTCTTCTCGAGCTCGGCCACGCGCGTGGTCTTTGCGACTTTTTTTGCTCGCGGCGGAGCGGGTGTTTGGCTTCCGCAGGACTTGTGCAGCCTGTGGCAGCTGAGGATATATACGATGTCAATAACAGAGCTACACTAAAGAACGACGAAGCAAAAGGGTTTCTGCAGAACTCACCGTTCGCATTTGCCCGACCCTTCAGGCCCGGGAACACATCGCGCCTTTGCTTTCGCGCATGTAAGACATGCCCTCGGCCCTCGATTCTTGTTCTCCGGATCGGCCATTTCTTCTAGATTCTCCTTGCTCGATTAAAATGAAAAAAGAAAAAAAGGTATAAAAAAGTTTGTTTCCAGAAGCGGGTCTCCAAGTCAGAATCGATTTATATGCATGCCGCAGAGGAATAGCAGCCACAGCTAGGCGACCCCATCTGCTCAAAAAAAAAAGAGGATGTCAAAAAAGAGAGATCAACCAAAACCGCAAGGCAAGGGGGGAACCCATGCAGCAACCATTATATCATTGATCCAAGCTATCCCCTAGGTTTCCAAAATACCAATTTCTGACGCGGCCTCGCGAGGTCTGAGAATCGTCATACCACGTAGATGATATATATAAGTGTACGAAATAATGCCAGAGGGTCCCAAATGGTCGGGCCATGCAAGCTCGAGGTCAGCCTGAACCAATCGTCGTGAGGGAGAGGAGCAGATCGATCGGGTGTTGCTCCGTTTCTCCGCTGGAGGCGGAAATAACTAACGATCCGACCCTGACCTGAACCTTGCTTCCCAAATTCTCCAATGAAGTTGTCTTCCTCTCCAGGTGTGGATCCTCATTCACGTGAGAGAATCGGCGTTCCGGTCTTTCAACTCCGAGTCCATCAAAGTTAGAATATGCGGGTCACGTGATGGTACATAACAACAACTTCCGGCAGGCTTGGACAGTTTTATCTTGAATGTCCAAGTATACTTTCAGAAATAGAAACAATGGAATTTCTTTCAGGTATCTGGCCCTGAGAAATTAGGAGGGAAATGGCATATATGCAAAAGGCAGAACGAGATCAATTGATTCTTTGTTGGCGCAGGACCCTGGGTCGGCTGGTGTTGTGTAACCCCACGATGCTGCGCCCAAGGCCATAGGGCTGAGGATCGAACGTCATCATCGAAAAAAGACAACGAGGTTGAGACGGAAAAAATTGAATGGCTTCATTTCGAATTCTCTACAGATTTCGGGTTTCGTACTTCGTACCTGCCTGGCTGTACCTACTCGTTACACTGGGACGCTCCTTCCAAGCTTTGAAAGTGACGGTTTGCAACGTGGGTGTATGTGTTATATCTGAGATATCGGCTCTGGATTCTCACCGTCTCGTGGAAGCTCAAGTGGCCAAGTGATAACGTACCGCTTACAAAACTACTTCCGCGGGGCGCCGGCGTGGAACCCGGTCTGGTCAAACCATGAGGCGTGGAGGAAACTGGGAAATTGGGAAAGGGAAACTTGGGACTCGGGGAGGGAGAAGTGGGGAATTCTTTTTTTTTTTTTTTTTTGGCCGGATCTTTTTATTATTTTAGAGAATTTGTTCTGTTTTTTCTCTGCGAGAAATCCTCGTTTGCTCGCCCCGTTGAGGTTGTGATGTGTTTCGAGATCTTGGGGATTGTCCCGGCTTGAGACGAGGAAGGGAGTTTGGAGAGGTTATCGGTTCGAAACTGGGGCGGGACTTTTTTTTTCTCGTCCAGGCTAAAGACGAGAGCACAAGCACAATCACAAAGCAAGAAGAAGAAAAGACCAAAGTTATTTAAACAGCCAATCGATACGTCATTCGTAATCGAGTATAGCTCCAAATATTCAATTCATCGATATCCGATCCGTTTAGATCCAGATATTCAAAAAAAGTTATATCTCAAAAAATCGCAATCCATGGCAAAGCGACAATCCTGCCGCGCCAAGACAAGAAAGGTACGAGTTTGTTCAACCGCGCCAGCCAGAGTATCTGTCCGGAATCTGGGTTGGTTGGATGGGCCACAGTATCGTGGGAACCCATCAAGCAGGTAGGGGCTGTATATTCAGCCCCCTCGATTGGCAGGAAAGGGGATTGGAGAGGAACCCCTTAGGCACTGCCAGCAGAAGCAGCAGCCTCCCTCTCCAAAAGCACATCAACAATGCCCCCCTCATTCCCCTCCTCCCTAATCTCCCTACTGATATCCTCAATACCAAGCTGTCCATCCGTCCAAAGCGGCTCAACAGCAGGGCTTCCCTTCTCGCCCACGCCAATGAACCCGCCCTCGGCCGCCCAGTCCGAGGTACGCTTAATACCGAGCCTAGTCCAAATCTCATCGAGCGCGACGACAAGGTCCTCCCTCAGCTCCTTGGTATGTCCGGGCGTGGGGGTGACGCGGAGACGTTCCTGGCCGACAGGGACGGTGGGGTAGTTGATGGACTGGACGTAAATGTTATAATCCTGGAGCAACATGTCCGAAGCACGCTTGGCGAGCTCCGCGTCGCCGACGAGGATGGGTACGATGTGCGACGGGTTAGGAATGACGGGGATGTCGCGGGCCTCGAGGGCCTCCTTCACAGCCCGGGTATGAAGCTGCTGCAGCCGTCGATCACCGCCGTAACCCATCTGGTATTCGATGGAGGCCGTGGCGCCGGCCATGGTGGCAGGCGGCAGCGAAGTGGTGAAGATGAAGCCGGGGGCCAGAGAGCGGATCATGTCGACGAACTTGGCGCTGCCGGCAATGTAGCCTCCCACGCAGCCGTAGGCCTTTCCGAGGGTGGCGGTGATGATGTCAATGCGGTCCATGATGGTACCCTCCCACTGGCCGCGCTTATGGGCTTCGAAGTCGAGGTGCTCGGCGACGCCGGCGCCGTGCGGCCCGTACATGCCGACGGCATGGACTTCATCCAAAAAGGTGATGGCGCCGTACTTGTCGGCGAGGTCGCAGATGGCTTCGATGGGGCCGATGGAGCCGCACATGCTGTAGACGGACTCGAAGGCGATAATCTTAGGGACGTGCAGCGGGAGCGAGGCGAGTTTGGCCTCGAGATCCTGCACGTCGTTGTGCTTGAACACGATCTTCTTGGTTCCCGAATGTCGGATGCCCTGAATCATCGATGCGTGGTTCAAGCTGTCCGACAGAATCACGCAGTCGGGCAACTTGCTCCCGAGCGTGGCGAGAGTCGCGTCGTTGGCGACGTAGCACGAGCTGAATACGAGAGCAGCCTCCTTGGCGTGCAGACGGGCGAGCGTAGCCTCGAGCTCGACGGCGTGTCTGTTGTGGCCCGAGATGTTACGGGTGCCGCCGGCGCCGGCGCCGTACTCTTCGAGAGTCTTGTGCATCTTGTTGAGGACGTGGGGGTTGCGGCCCATGCCGAGGTAGTCGTTGGCGCACCATACCGTCACGCGCTCTTCCTTGCTGGACATGTGGGCGCGGGGGAACTCCTTGGCCAGGCGGTTAATGTTGTTGAAGTAGCGGTACGACTTGTCCTTGTGCTTCTTCTCCAGCTCGTTCGTGTAGAAGGCCTCGTAGTCGAAGCGGCCCGGAGAATCGGCGCTCGGAGCCGGGGTGGCGCTGCGACCGGGGTACAGGGACGGAGGGAGGGGTTCACCTGCAGACGGGGTAAGTTAGCATTAGCTATTGAGTCATGGTTACAACGTCTAGCATCGTCGGTAAAGTATCTTGGTAATCGCCAAAAGCAGTCAAGTTTCCTGTGCAGGGAAACAAAATTGTGACACCATCTTTATGGGGTGACAAATTCAACGGATGGCCATGAGAACACCACCAATTGGAACCTTAACCAAGGAAAGAAAAACTCACCCTGCTGACGGTCAAACAGAGAATCCTGAAGACGAGCACCCTCAGGCCGACTAGTATGAATACCAGCCCGCCCAACCTTGGCAGCCGAATTAAAGGCCCTCAGCCCAGCAACGGCCGAGCGCTTAGCCATGTCGGTGCGGCCATAGTGAGCGGATCGCACAGCAATGGCCTTGCCCATGATGGGGCACCGGTTCGCCAGAAGCTGCAGCTTCGACATGGTGCCACCGCAGGGGGACTGGGCGGCCTGGGGACGCACAGCCGTCGAGAGGGCCCTCAAGGTCGCAGGGGACGACTTCTTGAGGAAGGGGCACATGGCCTTGGACTGCCGCAAGACGGAATCCATGGCGAATTGATTTCGACCGGAAAAAAGTTGAAGCAAAAAAAAAAAAAAAATATTTAGCCTTGGGTTGGTTACGGCGGCGAAACTCGAACTTGGGGGGTGGTTTGATTCCCAATTGGCACAATGGTCAATGGTCAATGGATTGCACTGGTTCGACAAATCCTGGGGATTTGGCTTTATAGAGCAAAAAAAAGGAAAGGAGGTGCGGCAGGAGAAAGGAGGGGGGGGATGAGAAGAGGAAGAAGTTAGAAAAAAAAGTAAACGAGGAAGGAAATCCAAGGAAGGGTTCAGATTGAATCGGCGGCCAAAAAAATTACTGCGAGTAGAAGGTCAAAGAATGACAGGAAAATATTACACTAACACCGTAAAGATGGTTTCAAATGCGGCGAAAGGCCATCATCCCATTCGGCAATGGCTCTTTCCACCGACTTCGACTCCACTGGGCTCCATTGGCTCCATTGGCTCCATTGTGATGTACAAACGAGTCGTAGCGTGCGAGGTACTGCAGCCCGCCAGCCCAGCGGCGACAATTCGCTATTGGCTGGCCAGTTTCGAGCCGTTGACCATTGACCGCCACGGTTTTGTAATCGCCGACTCGAATGAGATTCATCAATGATGTAGCAGATTGAGTACAAAGGAGTTGTCGTTTATACTTGCAGACGTCCGTTGACAGAAGACAGGACCGACACTAATTACTTGTAATAGACCTCAATCAATCAACGCCCCCTTTGTACGGAGTAGTCAAGCACAAGCTGTAGCGCTGCCAGCCCACGCCTCGACTATGTTGCCCGTTGCCTTCCACGCCGGTGACCTCTTTTCCATCATCGAAGTGTCCAAGTAAACTACTCAGTATTACTGTGGAGTCGCGGACACAGTGCCTGCAGGAAGAGTCATCCAATCGGTCCACCAGAGATACAAAGTCTTCATTGATGGTGAACAGGACTGGACAGTCTCTCAAACTCCATCCCTTCTTCATACCTGCGTCTGGTGCCACACATCTCGTACCTCGCAGGTACCCGTCCCTCACCCAAACAATTCTGCACCAGACGCAAGCAATATTATCTGGGTTACTTCCCACACAGCGGAAAATTCACGAGATGGGATGGTGGGGGGAGGGAGAGGAGGGGGAGGGGAGGGGCAAAATTCCAACCAGTCGCCTAGTTCGCAATCGTCAGCAGATCGAGATTCAATTTTGATCTTGAACCCCTGCTTGCCAAGGGCCTGGGCACATGGGCCTCAACTGCATTGTTCCCCAAAATACTTGGACGAGGGATATCGGGCAAATGATTTTTTAAAGGCAAAAAGAATTGGTTTATTGAAAAAGTGTCAAATCCGAGAGAAGAGTCTGCCAAGATTCAACAAACCTCCGGTTCCTGGTCCCTAGTCCCGCGTAGGAACTATCAATTGATCCTTCGTACCTCGTGGGATGACCGACCGAGGCTAACTTGGTGAGGAAAATGTTCTCACGTACCGTATGTACTGAGTTGCGTACTCCGTACTTGCAGGTCTGGACTCCGGAGCAGATGGTGCCAGTCGGATAGCAGGGTGCCGAGCCAATTCCGCCCCAAGTACACAGGTAGTGCAGAAAACCTAATGGACACTAATCCAGTCCAGAAACAAAGTCCCCAGCATCAGCTAAACCAAGTGCAAAAAGGGCGTCTTGGAGAAGCCGAAAGCCGGCGTCCCGTTCGGAACCTTGCTCAGCCAGACACCCAAGAAGTGCTGATGACTCCCTCCGCGGAGATGACCTCGTTCCCACGTCCGTCCCGGCCGAAAACCTGGACAACCCCGACCACTCATCTCACGTTCTCACTTCCATCGAACCCAAATGGCACATGTCATGGTGGGGTTAGAACTTCTTCTGCTGCGGCTTTTATGCAGAAAACTTCGTACTCCTGTATTCTGGTCCGATCTGGTCTCTCCTTATGGGGCTGGACCTGCGGCTTCGTCCGGCACACTCTGGGTTCGTGGGATGTGGGCTTCTCTAGGCGAAACCACTGAGGCAAGGTTCTCAAGCATTTCCTCTCAAGAAAAGAGAAAAAAATACAATAGAAGGAAAAAAGCGTCCATACAATACACACATGGTTCTATGTCACCGCTTCTTCGAGAATCAATTGGGGTTGGTGTTGTTCTTCATCATAAAAGCACGCACTTCATAAAACACACAATACATTATCCTTCTTCCTGACGCCAAACGGAATTTGGGGGTATCATTGAGGCCGAAATCAACATTCCCCTCTCTTTATAACCTGTGTAACGCCTCCTCTAGCAGCAAATCACTCCATTGAGTGCTAGAAAAATGAAAAGGAAAACATAACTTAATCAAACATGACCCTAACAAGCCCGTAAACCCAAACCCATTTTCCTTGTCCTTGGAACGCCAGATTGACGCAAAGCGACACAACATTATCATGTCGTCATATCTCATTGCGAAGAAAACGAAGAAAAAGAACAGATGAATGAGGCTGAAAAAGAAAATGAAAAACGACAAGAAAGAAAAGAAAAGTACAAAGAAAAAAGGAAAAAAGTTCGGTGACAGGCACCGCGTCCAACAAGATGCCAAGAGACAAAGCCAACACTATAACGCTTCGCGTTCATGCGCCTTCCGGGACGGTGTAGATGTTGGTATCGGCGTCGCACGGGCCGAAACGAACGAGGACTCTCGAGAATTGTTGCTTCTTTGAATCGCGTCATTCGCCCACCGCGGCAAGGGCTGCTGTTGCCGGCGCCGTTGAGGTTGATGTTGAACAACTTGAGGTTGGTCTTGCGATTGCTGCTGCCGTTGTTGCTGCCTCCGTCTCCTACGAAGATCAGCAATCTCCCGCAGCGCAATCTCGTCCTCGCTTCGTCGGGGACTCGCATTTTCGGCGTCGTTTTTTCCTTCGAGACGTTCGCGATTCCGTCGACTCAGATACGAGGACAAATGCTAATTGACAACGAGTACTTGCGTTTAGTGACATCGTGGCCCTATAATGAAGTAGGGGACAGCAGAGATGAGAGGAGAAAGAGAGTGGTGAAAAGGATATCGACAAATAGCATGTGAATTGTAGTTAGAGGATAGGAGGAGCGAATTGAGGTTGCATGAGAGGATGAGAGGGGTGGATTTGTTGTTGGATAGGAGGGAGTTACCACTCCCGAAAAAGCAGACTGCTGCTCTGGGCTCCCGCCCGTTTTCAGAGACGACTGCGCCTCTAGGATCTGTGTCCGTTGTTCTGGGGTCCCTGCGTGCCAGAACCCGGCGTGTTAGTATGGGGGGGTCTTACTTGAGGATCCATTTCCCTCATGGCCGTGCTGGGCAGTTGTCCTTCACACGAAGAAGTATGCGGTACGCCAGCGGCTTGTCTCAATAATTCATGGATGGGGGGGAACGGGTCCGGCGACGGGAGGTGGACAGCGGGGCCTTGGGGGAGCATGGGGGGAAAAATAGTCTGTTGCCGAACCGGCGGAAGTTGGGTAGCCGGGCGCTCAGATGCACGCTCTGCCACTTCACGCTCTGCCACTGCACGCTCTGCGCGTTCATGACCGAAAATGAACTGAAGAGCTTGGAACGTCGGTAAGGGCTTGGGCAAAATTCCCCGGCCTAGTTGATGATGAGGCACCGAGCTATGGATTGCATCATGCTGAACAAGTCGAGCGAAAGCCTCTTTCGGGTGGATTATTGACGTTGGCGAACCCCCGCGACCCTGCGTGTTTCCCACGGACTGACGAGGCATCGGCTGACCTCCACTGCTGGATGGTGGCATAGCTCTCATCGACGTAGACTGAGCTTGGTGGTTATACGAGTGAGAGGTGCCCACGGGCTTCGAAGGTGTAGGCTGACCTCGGCCACTATGGTACGCCTGCGGCGTGGCTCCCACCAGCGTAGGCTGAGCTTGATGGTACGAGTGGGGGTTGCCCACAGACTTCGAAGATGCAGGTTGACCTCGGCCGTTGGACGGCGGCACAGCTCCCATCGGCGGAGGCTGAGCTTGATGGTTATACGGCTGTGTGGCCCCCATGGGCTGGAATGGCATAGGTTGACCTCGGCTGTTGGACGGTGGCGTGGCTCCCGTCGAAGTAGTCTGGGGTCCATAGTTATGCGGCTGGGGGGTGCCCACCGACTGCGAGGGTGTAGGCTGACCTCGGTTCTGGTACGACTGCGGCGTGGTTCCCGCCGGCGGCGGCCGAGCTTGGTTATACGGCTGGGGGGTGCCCACGGACATCGAACGTGTAGGTTGGCCTTGGTTGCGGTACGCCTGCGGCGCCGTTCCTACCGGCTGGGGCGTTATAGGTTGCACGGTTGGGGGAGCTGTGCTTGACTTCTGAATGTTCGAGTTCGTGCCACTGTTCTGGGCAGTCCCCTCCCTCTGTAGCCCGACCATCTCGTCGATGTGCATCTCCGACGCCGGATCCATCTGGAATTGCTGACCGTTGTTTGGCTGCGCGGTCCGAGAACTCATGGTTGGCTGTTGTTGAGCCCCCACCCTTTCTCCCGTGGGCGCTGATCCGGCACCACCACCGCCACCGCTCTCAGTCCCAGTATCGGAGGTCTGTTTCCTCGTTCGTCGTTTGGTTGCCAGGCTGACGAGCCTCTGCACCTCTTCCAGATCAACCTCGGTAAGTTCGATATTCTCGGGATCCTCCACCTCGAAGGTGTCAGTCGGGACGACTGATAAGATCCCCTGGCTAAACGCTTGGTCGTTTAGGATTCGATCAAGGACCCGATCGGTGCCGATGAGGGCTTGGGCCTGCGATTCTGGCAGGGGTATTTTTGGGTCCACGTCCCAGACTTGCCTCACCCATTGCGCCACAGACGATGCGGAATACGCCTGGATATTGTCTTTATTATCAACTACGCGTTGCGCAAGCTGATTTTTGAAAACCATCCGTCCATGCAGCTTCGCTTCATGTGTTCCCCACACGACGAACCAATAAACGAAGACGGGCTTAGTCTGTCCGATGCGATAAGCACGTCCGATAGCTTGCTGTTCGTGCGCGGGATTGTGTTCGAAGTCGAGCATGACAACTCGGTTAGCTCCGTAGATGTTAAGACCGACGCCTCCTGCTCTGGTTGAGATGAGGAAAATTTCAACCGAGTTGGTTGAATTGTTAAAGTCCTTGATCAAAGACGTCCGCGTGCCGACTGGCGTGTCGCCGTCCAGTCGCATCGAACGCCGCCCCTGCCGGCGGCACAGCTCCTCGACGAAATCAAGAACCTTGATCCTTCGTGAGAAAATGAGCACCTTGTCCCCCGCAGTTCGGCACTCGTCAAGGATGGCCATTAGGTGCCTGAAGCGCCACGAGAGATCGGGTCTGTTAGTGTCCGCTTCCGAAGCCGCTAAGGCAATCAACCTTTCTGAGACACGCTTCGGCAATGCCACCGCAGCTTCCGTCCCCTGATTCTTCCTGGTTGTTTCGGGGGCCTCATCCTCCGTCGGCGGGTTACTATCCACACTTTGGTCGGCGAGCACATCCCTGACCTTCTGAAGAAAGCACCTCGGATGCGCGCAAATCAAGGAGAGGTGTCCCAGAGCTCCCCAGGCGCATGTCTTGAGGAGGCCCGTCTCCCGAAGTTCACAAACATACTGATCGTACAGGCTTCTTTGGAAAGGGGTGGGGGGTACGAAGATCACGAACTCCATCTTGCGAGGCAACTCGTCCTTCAGGACAGTGATATCGAGGCGATGCACCTTTGGAGAGATATTCTCCCTGAGGGCACGAAGTCTGATACGCGCTGTCCTCTTTTCCGTATCACCTGAATCCTTCCAAAGGCCCGTCTCGATAGGCCGAGTGTACACATCTGCAAATTCGGAAGACGGTCCCATGTAGCCCGGGGCCGCCCAATCCACCATGGAATAGTACTCCGACACGCTGTTCGCCAGAGGAGAGCCTGTCAGTGCAATCCTCGCCCGGGTCACGAACGGGATGCAGGCTTTCCGTAGCTGCGATTGGAGGTTCTTTATCATGTGTGCCTCGTCGGCAACCACGATAGCGGCACGCTTGTGGATGATCTCCATTAGGTCTTGCGAATTCTTCATAAATGCGGTGAAGAGCTGATACCCGAGAATCAAGATACCACCACCCGACGCCCATCTTTCAACGGTATTCTTGCGGAACATGCGACTCTCTGCTGTGGAAGTGTTGGAGCTGCCGCCGGTAACAATGTACACGTCGCCGAGGGCTTTGTCGGTGTCCCAAAGCAGGAATTCATCTCGCCAATTCGGAGCAAGTGAAGGAGGACATAGAACCACCGTTCGAGACTGTCGGAGATCATGGGGGATCTGAGAGCGGACAGTGGGATCGGGAGAGTTAGACGAAGTGATGATGCATAAAAGAAGAGTAATGACCTGCATCGTTTTGCCTAGACCCATGGCGTGCGCTATGAGGCACCCATGACGGCTGTCGGGGGCAACAACGATTTGGTTCCACAAAAACCTAACCCCGTCGATCTGATGATCCTTGATCAGCCTCGCTGGTGTGCCGGGAATGTATATGAAGCCCTCGGCATCTTCTTTAGCCTCGTTAACAATGAGGCGAGATTGATCCGTTGCCATTGGTGTCAAGGTTGATAGTGTTGAGCGGAGCTCCTGTCGCCGCTTCTCCAGCTTTGCGGCCCGTTCCGTCTCTAGCTCTCGCATCCTCATCGCTTGAGCGTCCATGGCAACTTCCTGCTGGGCGCTTTCGCCCTGCCCGCCCGGCATATTGACAAGTCTTGGAAATAGTGGGATGACTCGGAGCAGGATGGCGTGAAATCCGGCAATCGTATCCCTCTTTCCGCGTACTTCGCCGGGGTTCTTACGTGCCTGGTCAAGTCGGTACACGGCGAAGGACGACATATCATACCAGTTGATGAAAAGCCTCGTCATGAGGCCCGGTAGGGTTTTGACAGCTACCGTATGCTTGAGGCCTTCGGCTATGGTCTTGTCCCAGAAATCGTTTAGGTCATCCTTGGACGCTTCAGCCTGCTCGTGCAGCTTGTTACGCGTGACGGTCGTGAGCCTCCAAAGGCGGTTGATCAATAGACGATCATTGTCGGTGAGCGTCATATCGGCAGGGATGCTGTCCCAAAAAGACGTCGGGAGTGCAGTTAATCCGGCTCTGTTCGCACTCGTGTCGTCTATCTCAGCATGTGGGTCATTGTCCAGTAGTCCCGAGATACCCGGGAAATCGGAAGATGACGGCGACGGCAGATCATTGTCCGAACTGTCGACCGTCAGGTCAATAACCTCGGCGGGGTTCGGAGCTTGGCTGTCTACGTCCATGAGTTCCGGAGCTTCTCCATTGTCCGGGCCTGACGGTGCATCATCTCCGCTCGTATCCATGGGCTCGGAGAGGGGAGCAGTGACAGCAGCAGCTTTGTGGTTGTCGCCTAGACTTATCCTGGCGGTATCGTCTTCCATTTCCCGTGTGGCTTCTCTCAAGTCCCGCATCGGGGTTCTGATGTCATCGTCAATAAAGTTACTCAAGGGTTCTTCCTCATCGCTGGTCAAAATTTCCTCATCGCTCTGGCTCGGGCGAGGGAGGGGGCGGGGTTTGTCGCGTTTTGGACGGACGAGGAGCTCGGGGCGTTGCTCAGGCTCCGGGCCAGCGAGGATGTCCAGGATATACACAGCTTCTTCCCTATTCTCGACAGATTGTTCAAGAGACAACGCCTGGCGGCGAAGCGCGCTCTCCGAAGTCCAACCCACGTCGATGAGCTCCTCGCGTAGTATGGCGATGCGGGCGTCAATCTGGGCAAGCCTAGCTTGAGTGGGGTTAAGCTGAGAATTGGGGGAGCGTTGCTCCTTCTTCCAAATATTATGGGCCTTTTTCATCAGTCGATCGAGTTTTCGTGCCTTCCACAACGAAACAAACTCGGAAATTGCCTCGTCAATAATTTTATCAACCAACTCTCGGGGAAGCTGCCGAGCGGCGGCACGCTCACGCTCGGCGTTCTCCTCCTCCATCTCGCGTAGGGTCTGGGGATCCCAGTCCTCGTCCCCGTCTTCCTCTCCATAGGGAGCGAGGACCGGGTCACTTCGAGTCCCGGAGACCTCGTCTTGCTGAACGCCACTCAGGCGTAGAACCGTCGAAAGGAATGAATCTGGGTCCGGGGGTTGGATGCACGTCCTTGCCAGTTTCTTGAGTCCTCGCGGATGCGGGCGGAGGAGTGCTCGCATGGATCGGTTCATGCGTCGGGAATGGGCAACAATCGGTTTGACTCGAATGATGGAGAAATTATCTTCGATCGCGAGCCCATCGGTGGGTTGGCCTAGCGCATCTTCCCATCTGACGCGTTTCAACCCGAGGAAAAGCACTTCTTGGCGCTTCGAGGTTCCATCTTTTGGATCCGTAAAAGTGAGAGTGTTAGGGTCCAGACTGAACCCATCTACTTCGTCGGGGAGATTAAACGCCTCCTGACGGACTATAGCAGACGGGGACGCGATGGTCGGCGCCAGTCTCCTCTTTTTGCGGGGGGCCTCAAGGGGCTCCTCTTCGGCCGTTTCGATCGATGGAATGGGCGAGTCCATACGAGCAGAAGCGACTCCGAAGGAGCGCTTGGTCCCTGCTACCGGGGGAAGTCCTCGGTGACCGGCAGAGGGGCTACCGACACCAGTCAGGCGGATCTCTTGAGACGAGGCGGTTTGGGGGGGTAGGTATTCGGCCGTCTTGTGCGAAACAGAGGGGTCAACGATTCGGCGAAATGCGGATAGACTAAGGTTTTGTCCTAGAGGACGGGGAACGGGTGCTTGGGGAACGGGTGTTTGACGAAGAATGGCTTCATGCAGGGAGGGATTGTCGTCACCTCTCTGAGAAACTTCCCGAGAGTTGGTAGATGGCAAGCCACTACTACTTGCTTGCGTCCGCTTGGGGGAAGGGGGTTGCTGAGCAGCTCCAGGGACATCTCCCCACTTCTCCCATTCTTGGTAGCGATGACTTCGTTCTTTCAGGGATTTGATCACACGAAACACACGGCTCCGTTGCTGGAAACTATTGCCGACGAGCCCCACGACAAGCTCATCGAGAATATGGCCCTCAGCAGTGAGAAGAAGTTCTCCATTCACATCATGCTCTTTCAAGTTTGAGGCAAGTGTCTCAAAGGACAGATTGCGGCTCTGATGGTTCTTATCGAACCAGCCGCGGTCTGTACTGCAGAACTCTTTAATCACGCGTGGTACATCCCAGTACCAGGGATCATCCTGGCTCCCCTCCAAGAGGGGTTCCATCTTGGATGGTGGTGGAAGAGGGCCTAGATCAAACAGAAAGTCAGTATGGCTAGAATATGAAGAGGGAAAAGACCATTGTCTCCGCCACAGGCCCGGGGACGATAATAAAGCAGGTCTAAAAGACTTGACAATTGAAGGCTGGAGAGTGAAGGAATGGCAGGGCAAGGCAGTTCCACCAAAAGCCCAAAGGGTCCAGCCACCCAGAGAACAATCAGAAGAAGAAAAAAAGCTTACCTTGATCTCAAGATCTTAAAGGATGTCAGCACGTAGTTGGAGAGCTTGTATCATCAACAGTCAGTGGGAATGATGATGGGCACGAGGTGTGAATGATGAAAGGTCCGAGATGGATGATGATGGGTTCGAGAATGTTGACGGTGGGAGATTGGGAGGGATGAGGAGAAGGCGGAGGAGGGTTTTATAGTGGGAGAGTAGGGCACAGCACATCAGAGGATAAACAACATTCGAACTGGAACAAGGAAAAACTCACAGGAGGGAGAATACAGAAGGAAGGAGCTCTTCCCAGGCTCAATTCCGAGTCATCGAGTCATGTGTTTGGGGCTCAAGGTTGCAACTGCCAGTTGGGGCTTAAGAGGACTGGGGGTTGCTTTGCCTCAAGCGATTTCAGCTTGTCATATAAAACGAGTGAGGGAGATTGTTCAGACTCGAGAGTAGAAAGGACGAGTCCTACATGTATACTATGCCATCTATCCGACATACAACCGGAGAAGAAGAGAGAGAACGAGAGAATGAGAGGAGAGATGATATCGAGAGAAAAATAGTAACGAGCGATTGGTGATGCGGCACGGCGAGATGAAGTTGTGAGATCGTGGATGGGATGAGGTGAGAGAAGACGCGCAGAAGGAGCGTAGTCACGTGCTAGTTTGAGACGTCGACGTGGAATGTGGAGCAAAGATGTTTGATCGAATTCGTAAAATGTGCTTCGTTCATGAGCAGCTGCAAATTGTGTAATTATAGTGAACGAACTGGAGTTGTGGACTGAGGCAAGATGGTCTTAAATAGAAGTCGAGGTGGCGGAGTATTTGGGTATTTGGGTATTTTGGTGTTGGATGGACATGTTGGAAGAGGCCGAGAATTGATGTTGGTTCGGACAGGGATAGGGAGGGAGTGAAGGGTCAATGATTGTTTCCAACTGCACTTCAGCCTCTTCGAGGAAACCAAACGGGCCTCAAAGTACTTAATCGACATTGATCTATTGGTGCATGGAGAGATGGAGATATAGGTATATAGATGGAGATTACTTCGTGGATGTCTTGAGGTTATACCCAACCTTCAATGTTCCATGTTCCATGTTCCATGTCCCATGTTCTATCCGCCGTTGTGCACGAATTGAAGTCTTCCCCAAACGCCCTCAATCTCGACGTTTGCACAAACAGCCACTATTTGATCTCGAGGTCGCTCTCTCGCCCCGCCGATCCCACCAGCTGGTGCATGACGAAACAATTGAGCATTGAGCCAACGGCCAAAGACGCACTCACCCTGACCCTGTTTGCATCAACTGTCGGGGGCAAGGGCAAGCACAAGCCTAAAGATCTTCGTTGGTACTCGAGAAAATCATCAAGCATGACAATATTCATCAGTCTATCAAGGTTCCCATGGAAGACATTGGCCTTGGTTTTACGAGACTGCCGTCGCTGCTGTCCGCCCCGCTTAAGACAGCTTTGAACTCAATTGATGCGCTCAATTGTTGCAGCGTTGAAATCTGCCCCTCCTTCTCGCCTGCACTAAATCTTGCTAAAACCCGCCGCTTTATAATCAAATGAGCGATTGAACAATTGAGCGGCATTCTCACGATCGCTTGTCGCTGTACTTCAAGCTTCCCTCCTGCATCAGAGCCAAATCCTCGATTCCAACGTGCCAAAGTAGACCAGAGTGATAGTTTGAGAGACATCTCGTAGCAAACTTCAAACGCCGAATCATCCTGCAACCCTCCATTTCTGCTTCGAAAGAGAGCGATTTTAACAGGCCCACGCACGCCACCACACCCCTCTACCCCTCCACCATCATGGTATCCTCCATCCCCTCGGGACTCTCGCAGGACGAACGGCACCATCTCGTCCAGGTCGCCAAGGACTGGGCCGCCGCAAACGGTCTCGCCATCCGGCCCCCTCCAACGGTCGTTTCGCAAGAGGTCGACCCCGAGGGCGTGCTGGCCATTCATGCACCTGTCACTTTATTCCCCAGCAGGTTCCCGCGATCCTGCTTCGAGCAGGCGAGGTCGGTTCAGAAGGCCTACAATGAGTTGTATGCGAGGGTGAGCAGGGATGAGGAGTTCTTAGGCCAATTGGTGAAAGAGTAGGTTTTTTTTTTTTTTTTTTTTTTTTTTTTTTTTTTCTCTTTCTTCACAGCCACTGTGGCCGCCTGGTTGCCCCCTCTATACTATTTTTATCATTTCGGTGGCTGACCAGACATGATAGGTTGGTTGATGTGGACGACTTTGTCGCAAACCTCTGGAGAGTCCACCAGAGAGTCAAGGAGGAAGGTTATGTACATGAATTATCTCTCGGCCTCTTCAGGTCCGATTACATGGTCCACGAGGACGAGAGTGGTCTCCAAGTGAAACAAGTAGAGTTCAACACCATCGCCTCATCCTTCGGCGGCCTCGCGACGCAGACCTCCCTGCTCCACAGGTTTCTAGCCGCCACCGAGTACCCACGTCTCCAAGCCCGCGTGAAGGACTTGGACGTTCCCAAGAGCGATAGCGCGACCCTTCTTGCCCGTGGCATCGCGACTGCCTTCGAGAAATACAATACCACGCTCTCCCGTGGAGCTGAACGCCCCAGATGTGTTCTCTTTATTGTTCAAGACGGCGAGCGCAACATCTTTGACCAACGCCACCTTGAGTACAACTTATCCGGCGAGGACCCTCCCATCCCCGTCTACCGCCTGCCCTTCTCGGAAATCCTCCAGCACACGCGTATTGCTGAGGGGCCGAGGAGAGAACTCATTTATACCCTACCCTGGAGTCTGGAGTGGGCCAAGCCCACCGAGTATGAGGTCGCCGTCGTTTACTATCGATCTGGTTACGGTCCGGGAGACTACCCATCGCCAGAGTCTTGGGAAGCGAGATACCACGTCGAGCGCTCCGCCGCCATCAAGTGCCCCACCATCCTCACGCAACTGGCCGGTATGAAAAAGGTCCAGCAGGTACTAGCAACCCCCGACACTGGCGATGCACCCCCCGTCCACGCCCGCTTTACCCAAGGCCAGCCCGAGTTCAAACCCCTTCTAGACACCTTCACCAACATCTATCCTATGGATACCTCACCCGCCGGATTAGAAGCGCGCCGAAAGGCCACCGACCCCGAGTTATGCAAGTCCTTCGTTCTGAAGCCCCAGCGCGAAGGCGGAGGCAACAACTTCTACCGTACTTCCATCCCCGAGTACCTCAAGACGATACCCGAGGATCACTGGAACTCGTACATCCTCATGGAACTGATCACGCCGCCGCCGGCGACAAACATTATTCTCCGCAACGGCAAGCTCGAGGAGGGCGGTATCATCTCCGAACTTGGCATCTACGGAACCTGTCTCTGGAATAACGAGAAGGTCCTGCACAACGAGGAGGCAGGGTACCTGCTGAGGACAAAGGGCGATAAGAGCGAGGAGGGCGGCGTCGCAGCTGGATACGGCTGTATGGATAGCTGCAATCTGGTGGACTAAGCTCAGCTTGCTTCAAAGACCCACAAAAATAATAGGAAAAAAAGAGAGCAAAAAGAAAAGCTCGAAGCTACTCCGGGAAAATAAGTGGAGAGCTCTCCTGGGGTTTCTAGAAAATCGGTATTCCATTTCCATTGGTATAGATGTCATTCATATTGTACACGGGACGCCTAATTAGACCCCTAGAACCATATCGAATCGCACGATACAAACAAACATAAAAAATCTAGCGAGCGGAGACGTAGCCGACCCTATCAAGCAAAGTTATGGGGGAAAGAGAAGCACACTGGGGAGTCTTGAAGCAAAAAACAAGTGTGTTTACTCGTGGGTAGCCTCGGTGTTGGGGCGTTTGATGACATCTATGCTGCCTGTAAGGTTGTTAGTAAATGCGCATTCTGGTATTTAAACTCGCGATGGAAAAGGGGGATAAAAAACGTACGCTGGATGATGTTGAGCGAAGTTCGAGTCTTGCCCTCAGCATCCTGGTAAGTGCTAACACTAGCATCACCCTCGACATAAACAGTAGAGCTATACACAACCCCATTGTCAGCCTTGAGAATTGTCCAAAAAATCTCGATCCCCAGACCAAACGGGAGCCTTACCCCTTGGGAATGCTCAACAAAAAGTCACGCTGCTTCTCATTCCCCTCAGGAATAAACTTCGTGACGCGGAACCAACTCGTATGGCGATTCTCCTTGGGACCCGTCGAGCTAGCAATTGAATACTTGATGACCTCATGGCCGGTGCTGGTGGGCTGCAGCTCGGGCGAGTCTCCGAGGTTGCCGAGGAGGGTGATGCGCGCGACGGATCGGGGAGAGGAGGTGCTGAAGGCACGGAGGGCGACCGGGGCGAAGGCGGCGCGTCGGGCAAGGAAGGAAGACATTTTGTTTGTTTGGTTTATTTGGCGGGGGAATTGGGCGATTTGATTGTCGGTTGATGAGCTTTGGTCGTGGGAAGTTGAGGAGTCTTGGCGGTCTGGTGATGGTTTTTGTTGGATGGAGGAAATTGAAGCACGATTTTCTAAGACATGGGCACATACGCGATGCTCCTTCTCATCAATCTGAGGGGAAACGCCAGACGCGAAAGATTGCGAGTTTATGCGGGTGGTCCGTGCTGGGAGAAATTTATCCAATTAAGCAGTACTTTCGGTGCTACTAATAACCCCGTTTGTTCCATGATTTATAAAGTAATAGAGGATTACCATTTATCAGAAGTCTAGCTCGAACAAGGAGAGAACCTCGTAGTGTAAGAGCCTAATTCTACGATACGCATCACTGGCCATATATTGATCTTCATCTATCGTGACAGGACGGAAACGAGAGAGACTCTGTGAGAGGCCTTCTAATGGACTCGGATCGATATCCGTGAACATTTTCACTATTCAAGAGTCAAACACAAGGGAGTAGAGCTCTCTTCCCTTGCCATCCACGGGCCTTCAACAAAAACCACTAGAACTTCTATTGATATCTGGTTAGAATGGGGGGTTTATCGGACATTTTCACGAGATGCTAGGCCCGGGAGGACTTCTGCCCCATTCACTTCTTTCCGCGTTGGTTAGTCCCTTAGTCTTGCGTTCGTATCCCCAGCTCCGTCATGGTTATATCAGCGCCGAAGGCAAGTTCGAGCAAAGGGAGGTCTATGACCGTCTCAATTAAGAGGTGGTAGAAGTGCAATTTCCAAACAGGGATAAATGATGTGCTTGCCTGAGGCAGGAGGACAAACCTAGTCACCCGGCTACATTCTGTTGTCTTTCGCCTAACTTGGCCGACCGCATCTCCAATCGGCGGATCCTACATAGCCGCTGTCATCTTCAGACCTGCATCTGGTGGCGCTGTCTTGAACAATTCTGCAGTTGATTCAAGGCCAACGTGAGACCCATGCAACCGAGCTGATATTACTACTTCGTAATTCGCCCAAAGCTCAGCACACTCCAGATCTTTCCACTTCCCCCGGCAAACATAATACCCACAAAATCTTCCTCTTTCGGCCGTTGATGTGGGTAAACAGTTCCCTCATGAGGCTGAGGGAACTATTTTCCATCCTGAATAGGGTGGATTGGCGTTACCACCAACGCCGCACCGGCTTTTGGCATCCGGCAGTTGATCATCAGTGTGTGGGAGGCGAGTTTTCTCTTCACTTCATTTCTTTTACGGCGAAACGTCTCAGCCATGGAATAGAACCACATGCTGTCATGACTTGAAGAGCAAACACTACACACAAGTCTCATCCAATAACGTCGACCGTGAACGCAACTTGGTCTCCCGTCATTCGCAGCGCACGCGCATTGCAGATATCACTCATTGATTGGATACGGTACATCGGAACTCCTGCGAAGTCATGGTGTTGGTGGCGGACTCGAGGTTTGCGATTCTCGAGGTTGTATCATTGCATAGACTAATCCTCCAGGTTTGTCCAGTCCAAACTCATCCTCGCAGAAGCGTGTGCCTCGAGCTTCCTCGCAGTGTTTGCAAAATTGATTTCTTCATCCGCTGGAGCCAACCAAGCGCGTGAAAGTTGGAACGTAGTATCTTGCTTCACATAATATCACCTTGGCTGGATAATCCACGACCCTGCGGAACCAAGAAAAGGCCCCGGGCACATATGGAAAAGGGGGGGAGATGAAGAGACTGCATAAACCCAACCTAACTTGGCCCGAGGGTGCGTATGGATTGAGAAAGGTATTGTCGGCTCAATCATACTAGCAATCGCAGACTGGGCGAGAAGGTTGTGTCTCTTCGATGTTGGCCCTGCGCGGGGGGATGTTTGCTTCATTCGAGGACTATCGTTTGCCCTCCCGCTGCGTACGAATCCGTTTCGCCCCCACACTCCTCCATGATAAGCAATAGGACTTGGCGTCGACATGTACGACCAAGCAGTGAGCCCAACATCGTACAGAGGGAGGTACCGAACCCGAAAAGGGCCGCAGCGGGGACAACAAGACGACTCACTCCCCAACAATCGTGGGAATCAGGTATTCCTTGGCACTATTTCCCAGACACTGATCGCCTCTTGGTCCCGATTACGCACAAGACTCCCGGTGACCTGTTCCTTGCAGATAAAGACAAGACCACGTCGCAGAAAGAGTAGGGGGGGAAAAACGACTGAAGATTTGCTTCGTGCGACCATGCAGGAGGCTTAGATAGGCAAATGGAGAAAGGCCGTTCGCCGGTTGTGCTCAACGGGAGCATGCCGAGACAATAGCAAACTTAAGAGCTAATGGTCGTTAATGATGTGTCGAGTGTGAGCGAGGATTAGGAATTCGCCCGTTCTGATACAGTACCTTTTTTTTCACTTTGGCCTCTTCTTTTGGTTTGCTCTTTTCGTTTGGTCAAATTGATGAAAAACAAAAGCTGGGGAGAGATATGTGCTACAGTTCGTTTTCTCCAAGCAGCACCGAGCATGGGGAGCCGCAGGATAGAGCCATGTGTGTGCCTGCCACGGTTTCCCTTCTGGAGCTGAGGCAACATCCAACGGAGTGAGACTTGGCCTAGACTGGTCAGAAGGGGAACACCAATCGAGTTGCCTCACATGAATGAAGCAGTTTCCCACCGATGTTCCCTTACCAGTGCTATGTTCGTTTCCGCCTTGTAACATCTTTTTGGGACTTGTGTGAGAAAGTGAGGAGCACAATGCTTGCTTGCCCTGTCTCTCTCTGTCACATTTCGGTTTTCCGTTTCCTTTTTTTTGTTTTCTTTTGTCTTTCCGTTTCTTTCAAGTTTATATTCAGCTCGTTTCCTCTGATATCAGGGGACATGGGGGGGAGAACCAGGACAAGACTGGGGCGAACCTCTTATTCAAGACTCTTGCTTGCGCCACTCTCAATAGTTCATTTCCTCTCCCGTCTCAGTCCGGAGGTTAGGTCGGCGTGGAAGAGACAGGTCCATCTCTTCGTACCATTTATTGATGGGAGTTGGTTATTGAAGATGAAATCGTCCTGCTCCATTTGGACGCGTCCAGTTTCCCTCGATTCAGATGAAAGTATATATGCACGAGGGTGTCAAACAGCTTCCTGCCTGACTTGCTCGAAGCAAGACAGCAAACACTCTCTGAACCTCCTCCCACGTCTTAACTGGATCCTGCCCCTCTCGACAGTAAGGGCAGGTCCCCATCCATAAGAGAAACAAGAGAAGCACGGTAACATACATCTGCAAAAAGGCTATAAACTTATCCACAATGGGCCCAGCCAACATCATCGATCTCAGCCAACCCAACCCCTCATTCCCCGACTTCCACCCCCGCCATCCCACCGACCCAGCCCAAGTCACCGCCAACGTAGCCTGCCGCATCATCCTCGGCATCCTCGCTAACCTCAGCATCTGGGTGCCCCTCCGCATCCTCTACCGCCACGGCGAATTCGCCGCCGTAGTCCTCCTGTCCTCGACCATGCTCCTCAACATCCTGACCATCGTCAACGCCCTCATCTGGCGCAACGACGACACGAGCTCGTGGTGGCTCGGCTACGGCTACTGCGACGTCTTCCCTTACGTCTACAACCCCTTGCTCATGGTCTACAACACGAGCATCTTCGCCATCATGCGTCATCTCGCAGACAAGATTAGTCTTATGCGTGCCGACTCGCCCAGCGTGAGGGAGATGAGGAGGAGGAATCTGATTCAGGCGCTGATTATCTTTCCTGTGCCCATTGTGCAGATGGCTTGGATGTATCCACTTGCGCTGCATCGGTATGCTATTTTTGCCCTGGCGGGGTGTACGTGGATGCCGTTTGGTTCGTGGCCGTTGTTGGTGTTTGTTATTTTGCCGAGTCCGCTGTTTGCCTTCGGGACCGTCTATTATGGGAGTGAGTAACCGATTTGTGAAGATCCCGGGAGGAGGAAGAGGACAAGGAGAAGCAGAAGAAGTTGCAGAGTTGCTAACTCGGCCGTGTCATGGTTTTTTTTCGTTTCCCTGAAAAGTCCTCACATACGTCCGCTACAAAGAAGTCGCAGCAACAACATCCTCCGCCCTCACAACCTCCAACAGCGCAGCCAGCAGTCGCGCGCGCCGCGCCAAACGCCGCCTCTACTTCATGACCGTCTGTATCCTGATCCCCTACTTCCCCGTCCAGCTTCTCTGGCTCGTGCACAACATCACGAACTTCACCCCGCTCACTAAGTACGACTTTCCCGCCCTCCAGGCCGGCGCTGTTGATGGCCTGCCCTGGAACACGATTCTCCTGATACCGACGAACGGGGTGGCCGTCGTGTCGCTGATCGATAGGTACATCGCCATCGTCACGGCCATCCCCATCTTCGTCTTCTTTGGGATGACCAAGGATGCCTTGAACATGTATAGGAGATATCTCCTTGCTGTGGGTCTGGGATGCGTCTTTCCGTGTTTGAAGGAGGAGTATGATCCGGACAGGAGACATGATCCTAATCGGTCGACGACGGGAATCCTTGCAACTTCAGAGACTACGCAGACTACCCAGTAAGGCCCCACCCCTCTGTTTTTTATACCTTTTATTTCTCCCACGTACAATCGGAGGATGCTAACACCACGTAACCAGATCATACACCAAATCTTGTTATGCCGAACCTACCATAACCCCCATCTCCGACCCAACTACCCCCACAAAGCCCACAAAACCCTTCTCCGCACTCCCCTCCATGTTCAGCCGCGTAGACCTAAAGATCTTCCCCCAAGGGCGTCGCCCCACGAGGAGGAACGGGCCGCGAAGATGTTCCTGCGACGACGGGGCCGTAGTTTTGGGGGATGTTGCGGCGAATGCCTATCTCCCCGGCCTACCTCTCGCCGTTGTGGAGACTCGGGTTTGGAGCGCCGAGGATGACGAGGAGAGGGTGGGTATTGAGATTCTTAGGGCGAGGGCTGTGATGGATCGTGGTGGTGATGGGTGTTGATGATGGATGGTGTGGTTTGGTGTGACTGTCGCCTAGACTCGGGCCCGGGGATTTCGTTCTCGCGGATTCATGTTTTGCATTTCACAAAACTTGAAGCTGGGCAGTAGTGGGGGGAAAAAGGAAAACAAAATAAACAGTACTTAAAACATAAATCCAAACTCACAATATTGGTATCAAAACCTGATGTGCTCCCTCCCACCTTGATAACAGAAATGTTCTCATATATATAGGTGAAAAAGAGGATATATATATATAGTACATCACCAGTCCTTTCACAATAGTTTCAACCCATACCTAGACTCCCACAAGATATCGAAGAGCACCATGTCCACCCAAGATTGATCGAGAACCAAGACTCAAAAGATAGAAAAAGAGAAACTAGCATCGCTAAGGAAACGTAGCATAGAGTACATAGTAACTCGAGAGGAAGAAAAAAAAGTTCAGATTCAGAATGAGTATAGAAAAGAACCCGGAGGGCCTATAAACCGAACCCTACATAAACGCCGCAGTCATGCTCTATTGGTATCAAGCAGGAAGAAAAAAAGAAACAAAACACAGATAGGAAATAAGGGATGATAATCCGTGGCCGAGAAGAAGAAAAAAAAAACCAGCCCAGAGATAGAAGGATAGAAGAACAGAGAAGAACAAGAAATTAAGATAACGCCTCGACAGCATTATTCTCTGCATACATCGCATGTTCACTAGGAGTAGCCGGTACAGGAGCAATCTCCGGATCTGGAATTTGTATATCAAGCTAAAACATCACTCATTCATTAGCCATGATCACAAAGAAAGAGAATGGATAGTGTTAAGAGGCCAGCCATCTTACCGTCATATACGCCGTTTTCCTCAACGGTATAATCTTAGGAGGCACCAACCCCTCCTCCGTCCCCAAAGTCTTCTCCATCTCCTTATTCCACTGCTCAATCCACTTCTCTAACCGATTCAGCTGGCTCTTACTCCCTGCGAGCCCCAAATCGTCCCAGATCCAACCCGTCAGCAGTCCCAGCGTGGCGTCTAGGATGTTCCGGAAGCTGTAAGGGTTATGTATCCTGACGAGATCCGAGTTGAGCTTCTCGATGACGCGGCGGAATTCCTGCTCCGAGAGCCCCACGGGATCGAGGATGTCCGGGTACGTGTTGGAGAAGGTTGGGGCCAGGTCGCCGGCGATGAGGAAATCGCGGCGGACGCGGATGATGCGCGTCGAGGCGTACTCGGGCGAGTCGACTGGGACGTAAGGGTTGAGGTGGGGGTAGCAGGGGTGTTGGGGGCCCCATTCTTGGATAGCGTCGCGTTGCACGTCCTCGCCCATGATGGAGGAGTTGGACGAGGACGAAATGGGCGAGCCTATGCCATCGGGGACGCCTGAGATGCCGGAGAGGCGGGGATCGAGGACGTCGGGGCCTCGTTCGAGGTCCTTGGAGAAGGAGCGCCCGCGCTCTTCGACTGCGTCGGCGGGGGAGGTGGCTGCTGCGGCGGTCATGATGATTTCTTTGCCTTTGCCTTTATCTAATTTCTTGGGTTGGAGGAAGTCTTGCTGTTGTTCCTGGATGGCTGCTGGGAGAGGCCAGTTGAAGTTGGGTTCGGTGGGTGTCGGGGTGGGATTTGTCGGGCGTTTCTCGTCGTACGAATGGCGAACGGATCGGGGGAGACTGATGCGTTTCTCGCTGGTGCCGTAATGTTCAATCTGCAGGCTCGGCCTCGACTTTGCCGAATGCTTTGTCTGGCGCTGCTCGGAGAGAGAGAGAAGGGGGTAATCGCCCGAACCGGTGCGGGGGAGATTTTCGCTGGGGTTTGTCTCGCTGGTGATGACGGGGTGCGATAGGGGGATGGAAGGTAGAGGCGGAGTCGACGGGCGTCGCTTGCGGATGGTCTTGGCCGACTTGGGGGCTCGTGGAGTTGAGTTTGTCGGGTTCCAGAGACGAGCTGCACTGGGACGGCGGGGACGGTGAGGACTCGCTGAAGCGGCGCGGTGACTTCGGAAGGGCGAATGAAGACGTCGCTGGTCCTGTTGATTTTTGGGATTCAGCGAAGGAGGTTGCTGCTGACGGTGTTGTTGCTGTTGAGGATTTTTGTGGCCAGATTTCGCGGGCCTTCCGACCCGTTGTTGAGGATTACTGGTTGCAGCAAGGGGCGGCGGTGTTAGAACGGTAGGAGCGGGAGTGTTGGCGGCAGCAGCAGCAAGGGCTGCGGCAGTATTGGAGTCGACAGCAGCAAGGGATGATTGCTGTTGCTCTAGTTCTTGGTGGTGCTCGCGTTGTTGTCCTTGTTGGGCGGCGGGTGACGAGAGACCGGGATAAACTGGTTGAACAGAAGGGCTGTGGATTCGCGGATTTCCGGTGGACTCATCCACGGCTACTACGGAGGCCGGGTGTTGTGACTGAGGGTTCGTGGAGGCGTGAGAATCCGTTGGAACTGGGTCTTGGATGCGGCCGTCGGGAGAACGGCCGCGAAAAATGAGGTGCTGGTTGTGCTGGGGGGAGAACCGTTCCTGCTGTTCACCTGACACTGGTTCCGGGGGAGGTGTGGCAGAAGTGCACTCGGCGGCAATAGGCGATGCAACTCGCGGAGCCGAGGCGACGTAGGGAGGAGAGGTGGTGGTGGAGGTGGGAGAAGTAAGGGGCACCACGGTGGCGGCGACGGCGTCGGTGAGCGAAATGTGCAAAATGGGTCCTCGAGGGTGAAGAATTCAATTGGCGGGTTCTCCTCCGTACCCTTCCCGATAAGAACAAGATTGGCGGCGTCGAGCTCGAACACGGCGGGATTGGAAGGGATCGAATCGGAGCCGTGGTTGTTGACTGGATACGAGTCGTCGATTCGGTTTGATGAGCCAGCGACGATGGACGACGGGAGTTCCAGGTGGGCGGCTTGCAGAGTGCGGAACTCGGGGGATGGGCGACGAATTTGGTGTTTTGGATGTGGATTGGTGGTGGGAACTTGGATGGTACAAGTAATACCAGCAATATTAAGATTAGCAGCCAAAGCCAAAGCGCTGGGCGATGAACCAAGAAAATCCGACTTGGGATTGGGAGACTTGGACGGAATCTGGCGGGAAGGTGACAGCGACAGCGAGCGTGACAGTGGCAGCAACAGTGGCAGAGTGGGCGACGATGGGTGTGACAGTGCTGAACAGGTGGCAGCTCTTGGTGGTTGGGGTGGCAGGTGGCCGGGGAAGTCGGAAGCCGAGTCGATAGAACGGTTGCAGCTGGCAGGGGTGACAAGGTTGGGGTCGAGACTAGGCGGCGTGGGCGACGCGGGCGTCCAAGAGCAGGTGCCGCTGTGGGTTGGTAAGACAACAGAGTCTTCAGGGGTCGTTACAACTTTGACGATCTGGGCCGAGAATGGTTTAGTGGGACTGGGCCAGAGTCCCAGCATCATGGAATGCGACGGAAACTCAATATTGTGAAAAAATTGGTCCCCCCCAGCTAGATGCAACCACAGACGGTTGGGCTGGGCTGGGCTGGGCAGGGTCCGGATCCACAAAAGAAGGATTTCCTTTTTTTTTTTTCTTTTTTTCCTCCCCTTGGCTGCTTTGATGGAGGCTGAGGTTGGCGAACTCTTCACCAGAATCACGGTTAGTGTCCGTCGATGGATGATGTATCGATATCGATGCTGAGGATTCGCGGGTGAAGCGAGGGTGTTCGGAATTTTTGGGAGATTTCTTGTCCCGAAGAATTGGTGCGCTGGTAAAACTAGCGTTCAATGTGGAATAGCTTCGGGGTTGAAGGGGGTCACATCAAATCGCATCAATCGTCGATGCTGGTGATCTCGTCGTTCTGCTCTCGGGATTGGATCCAACTTCTAACTCCTCGATGATCTCGTCGTCGTTGGACAATGGGTAAAGTTCCGGGCCGGTTGATTCGTGGGAATCGTCAGATTAAAAAGTGCGAACGGAAAAGAATTGAAATAAAACATTCAAAGAAAAGAAGAAGTGGGAGAAAGGGACCGGCGTAGGTACATTGGGAGATGTAAGTTGAGTTTAGGTGAAGGGGGAAGCTCGTCGTCGTCAGCCCTGAAGTCTGGGGATGACTTGAATCTATATCAAATACCTCGTGCTTCGTACTTACGAAGTAAACTAGTCTATCACCACTTGGACGTGCCCGGACCGGCTCCGGGCTGGAACCTGGACCTGGACTTGGACCTGGACCTTGGCTTTGAGCTGTACACCTCACTGGACATGGACAGGGGGCGTCCACGCCCTCTTCCTCTTCGACTAGATCTCAATATCTAAAGTACGAAGTACTTCGTGGCAATATCGTGGGAAGTGAATGGACCCATCCGTAAGGTATGTATCACCTTGGCGGGGCGAATCGACGACATTCCAAGACACCTGGATGTTTCTTTTTCTTTTTCAAGCTCAAACGGGAGAACGATGCAAGCTTTTCAGTATTAGGAAGTTCCTGTTGGCGGGAGGCAGTCATGCGTTCTTCCTCTTCCGTACGAGCCGGTTTCCCTCAGCAGATTCATCTCGTTTGCTTCTTCTATCAGCAAACTATTTTTATCCAGTGAAAAAGTATTGATTGATCCCATCCATGAATCCATCCATGATTCCATCCATCCCCGGAAATTCCGTCCCCCACTCCTCGTCATGCCTCTCTCACCATACCCCTGTCACTTGGAGATGATGGGGCGTGCGCTGTGTGGAAGGAGGGCTGGCAACCCTGTTTTCTCTGTTGGCTTTCAATACATACTCCGTGGGACCGGAGCTGACTAGGGGGGTCGTCAATCTGGCTCATGTCTTGATGCTGGTAAAGTCGGCTGGGGCGACATCATCGGATAACACACCAACCTCCAGCTCCAACTTTGAACCAGAATTTCAAGCTTCCAATGACTTCACCCATCAACAACGCTCACTCGCCAACCTCCCAAAACCAGATCATTGCTGCTGATGGACCATCCAAAAGCACCATTGCAGCTGAATACCTCGGCAGGCTGTGCCCTGAGGACGAGATGAGACGGACCCGGAACCAGTGAATGCAATGTCTTCTCCTTTCTCTCGCCACTCTGCTCGAATCTGGAACCAGAAGCTGAATCCAGCCACTTTCGCTGTTGCGGTTGGTAGAGAGCTCCAGCGCCGTTGTCTATATTTGCTTCTTCACACACTCACTTACACTTCAAGCATACCAACGACCCAGAATGCTCCTCCAACCTATTGATCCCTGGCATCTCGTGCCTATATTAGAAAGTCATTATCGTCTTACGAAGTAGTTCCATCCTTTATCGTAAATGATATTTCTAATCTTAACGTCCATAAGAGTACATTCCAACATCAATTTCATCCAAGCCCAAGTATGGCACGATTGAAATATCAATACTTTGTACTGAGGTAAATTCCATGCATCTTCTATTGAGGAAATTACAACCACATGGCAGCATCTTCTTCAATCTCCAAGAGATCCAGGATCCGAAGCCCAAGACGGCCTGAGGTCTGTGCGGTTCTCCAGCGCATAACGCTCATTTGATGGATTTAAACGAAGTTGCGATTGTCTCCGAAAAGAATGGTCAAGAATGATGATTCCGATGGAACAACCCCCTATTCTGACATCATACTCAAAAGCTCAGCTCTCAGCTGAGCTTCATTGTCTGCATCTTTTCTCGGCCGTGGAACGTGGGTCAACAGCGTCTCGATGCTTGGGTGAGGACCGGGCGCCGAATATTCCACGGAAATTTGAATTATTCTTTCCTTGGTCTCTATTGTTCTTTTATCTCTTTTCTGCGCATCATTCATTTTATTTTACTGTACTCCGTATTTTTTTTTTTATCGTGTCCTCGAGCCGAAATGGCCATTCCAGGGATGAATACTTCATACTCAGTAGACTCAAATCGGCAAGACTTGCCGAAAATGAACACTAAGAATAGACGAGTGACGACGGGTTCTCAATGAGTCGAGAGTGATGCAGTGTAACTCCTATTTCTCTTCCATTTCTACATCGGACGCATTGGACGAGGCTTGTTTGCCAGCGTACGAAGGATGACATCCGGAAACCAGCATGTGCCGAGTCTGGATTAACTCCCTCACCAGCTTGCCCGAGGAGCTCTCTCATTCTGCCTTTCCCAGTATGGGAGAGTGGTGTGTCTGCGCTGTTTGCGAGCAGTCCAATCAGTCCTGTTGATTGATACTCAGACCCCCGATTTGTCCAGCCCGCGTGCCGATCAACGTCGTCATCATCGTCCATATTGGAACATTGGTCGAAAGAATACGACCGGACCTGAAATCAAAAGAACATGCTTGGTGATGACACGAGAGCGATCTCCATCAAATCGGTTTCGCGGATGGTCTGCAAGTGCAAGAGCGGGTCCGTAACACTATCTGCGCATTTTCGTGGAGAGCAAGCACGATGGCTTACAGGCCAAAAAGCAAGGGTCCTTCGCATGCTGTGGAACCCCAGTATTATGTCTTGCCCCTGTCAGGGTCCAACATCGCCCCCGAGACGTGTGACATCAACACTCTGGGCTGAAGAAGTGGGGAGCCTCTGTCTGGCGGGCACAATTGGGCGGCGCTATCGATGCCAGGCATTCCTGCATATCGTCACACATTACACATGAGGAGGTGGACACATACGAGAAAAGGGGTTCTGAAAAAGGGCCACTGTCCGCAGTCACGATGTGATACAGAGATTGGAGCTACGGACGAGCCACACCAGGTTACTAGTTGTGAAGGACGCGTTGGGAAAGTAATGCCGTGAGCACTGCTGTTGCGAGAACGCCGAACCGGTCAGCTTCGGCTATAGTTTGCTTGGGTTCTGTCTTATCACACTCATGCTTGTTATCTTGTCTCTCGAAGCACTATCGTGAGATGCCCTTGTGCGGAGATTGGTTTAGATCAAATGCGTCATGGCGACTGAAGAGGCCATCTGTGACAACCCGCACCGGTTTGCCTGAGGAAGCATCACGGGCTCAGAATTAATCAAGATACATGCCTTCTTACTACTCAGAAGTCCAGGGTGATACGTTTTGTAGCAGCACTCAAGAAATCGCGTTTTCTTCATCATTCCGTCGCGTCACGTCACGTCACGTCACGGGCTCAATCTCGAGGCACCAGAATCCGGCGGACTGGTGCTTTCACGTCGGGCTTGAGAGCCTGCTATGTACATACAACTAGAGCTGAAGGTGACGCCAAAGTTTGAGGATTCTGCTATAATGTCTTATTGGGACGGCTCTGGGGTGTGGTTTTGGACAATATCTTATCCTCAACTAGTTCGTGTTCTAGCAATCAGCTCTCGATCACCGAATTTCTAAGACATATTTCCCATCCAAACCGGGGACTATTCACGTTTTCTGTCTTTTCTGAGTCCTTGCTACAAAAGATCCGTCAAATCTAAGTCATGAGGCTTCCTTAGCAGGTCCTCCTCAGATTGGCTATCTTTGACGTTGCCACTTCGAAGCTACTGATGAGTAGCGGACACGGTGCCTTTCCCAGCCAAGTCATTCAATTGGACCGTGGCTCTGATTTAATCTTTCCGTGACGAACCTTGGACTAATCTTGACGACTTTCTGGCGGCCAAGGCAAGCCTTCAAGATGCGTATGATTCTTCTAACCGCACAAATGGCGCCCGAGTGTTCAGCATTAAGAGTCTATGATCATCATCCTGCCTCCTGCAAGCAGAGACAGCCTGATAACTTATAACCTTCAAGACTGATTCTCAGATAGACCGGCAGGTTTCCATTTTGATAAAGTCCCTTCTCCCTTTACTTAAGTCCCTCTCCCCTATGCCTCCAGAACTTGCAATTCTCTGAACTTTTCTGTTCTCCTCGACAGGACATTTCTCTCCACCTTAGAGAATCTCCCCCTTCCTAACCCAACATTTTATCCTTTTCCTGATACTCCAGGCCTGCCTTCTCTCCCTCTAGTGCCTGGGAGGCTCTGCCCATCCATCCGAATCGTCTGATTTGATAGCCTATACAAGCCCGTTGGACTCCACGATGCCGTCGTAGAACCCATATGCAAGTTCTTTCCCTGTGTTTGCGGAGCCAGAATGGATCGTCTGACTGTCATATATCCCATAGATAGGGCTGCGTTAGCAAGATCTAGGAGGGGATATCCAGGGTAAATGAAGGCGTGGAAAAGACACTGCCATCATGTGCAGGCTTTCCCTCATCCCTTAGTGTACGCCAAACACGCTCGAAGAAACGTAGAGCTTCAGCCTTCTCTGCGGAGGGGATGAAAATGGAGATCTTCGCTTCTAGGCTGGCATTTCGTGGGTTGAGGAGAGAACAGAATATGGTCGGGGTAAGACTTCCCACCGGGAATTCCGGCTGCTACTAGGTCACAGAAGACTATCGTTTCTGCGTTCAAGGCCCGTGTCCTCACTGCTGGTAAGTAGGAGCAGCGTTGTGGAGAAAGCAAAAAAGGTAACTCGAACAAGGCATAGATA